TGCCTTCGGCTCAGGGCATGATCTTGGAGTCCTGGGATCGAGTCCCACATCAGGCTTCCGGCATGGAGCCGGCTTCTCCCTCTGCCTCTCTCTCATGAATAAATAAATAAAATATTAAAAAAAAAGGGAAAAATAAATGTTGGCAAAGATATGGAGAAATTGGAACCCTTATATATTATTGGAGAGAAAGTGAAATGGTGTAACCTCTTTGAAAAAGTTCAGTTTCTAAAAATGTTAAACATAGAATATAGAACCCAGCAAGTTACTCCTTAATTATCCACTCAGAAGAAATGAAACCTATTTCCCCACAAAAATATGTACACAGGTGTTCACAGCATTATTCACAATTGCCAAAAAGTGAGGGACAATCCAAATATCCATCAACTAATGAATGGGTAAACAAAATGTAGGGTATCCACACAATGGAATACTATTTGGCAATAAAAAAAGAATGGATTAGGGCAGCCCAGGTGGCTCAGCGTTTTAGTGCCGCCTTCAGTCCAGGGCCTGATCCTGCAGACCCAGGATCAAGTCCCACATCGGGCTCCCTGCGTGGAGCCTGCTTCTCCCTCTGCCTGTGTCTCTGCCTCTCTCTCTCATGAATAAATAAATAAAATCTTTAAAAAAACAACAATGGATTACTAATAACAGGCTGCAACATGAATGAATCTCAAAGGTATATTCAGTGAGAGAAGTAGATACAAAAGATTATATGTGATTCGCTCTGTATGAAATGTGCAGAACAGGCAAATCCTAAGAGACTCAAAATAGATCAGTGGTGCCAGGGGTTGGGGTAGGAATGGGGAATGGCTGTAAATGGACATGAGATTTCTTTTTGAGGTGACAGAAATGTTCTAAAATGATACTGTGACAGTGGCAGAACTAAGTATATTAAAAAATCACTGAATTGTACACTTAAAATGGCTGAATTTTATGGAATATATTTATATCTGGGGACGCCTGGATGGCTCAGCGGTTAAGTGTCTGCCTTTGGCTCAGGTCGTGATCCTGGAGTCCGAGGATTGAGTCCCACATTGGGCTCCCTGCGTGGAGCCTGCTTCTTTCTCTATGTCTCTGCTTCTCTCTTTCTGTGTCTCTCATGAATAAATAAATAAAATCTTTTAAATTATATCAGAATAAAACTTAGAAAAAAAAAAAAACTAAGATATCCATCAGAGGGTTTTTTTTATGGGGGTATTCAGTCTCTGTAAAAGGGATTCTGTTTTTCAGTAAGTGCTGAAAAATTCCAAAGCACTTCACCTTCCAGAGTAAAAGGAAAGTGTAAGAAGTGGGTGCCTCACCTGATGCCGCCTCCAGCTGCTTAGTGAGAGCACGCATTATGACATCATTCTCCACTATGTAACCCATGTCATCCAGATTATCCTTATCGAACATTATCAGAGCCTCTGAGCAGGCATCCCACACCTGGAAACAAAAAGGGCAAGTCTGTATCACAACCCAAGGAAGAGAAAATTTATTGCTCCAATCAAACACAGTACTGCTCCCCAAGTGAGAGAAACCTAATTCACAGTGTCAGTTCCTTTGGTAGGAGATAGAAGGTGAGGAGAAAATTCTCTTGAGAATGAGCCCCCCCCTGCCCCCCCCCCAGTGGCTCAGCAGTTGAGTGTCTGCCTTCAGCCCAGGGTGTGACCTCGGGTCCTGGGATCGAGTCCTGCATCAGGCTCCCTGCAGGGAGCCTGTTTCTCCCTCTGCCTATGTCTCTACTTCTCTCTGTCTCTCATGAACAAATAAAATCTAAAAAAAAAAAAAAAAAAAAAAAGAATGCTTCCCCCCACTTCCTTAGACTGGGAACTTCCCACTTTCCCACAGAAAATATGGATTCCAAGACATGGACAATATGAATGACCAAGACATCTTGCCAAAAGTGAAAAGGAGGCACCTGCATTCGCCGAAAGGCTCTGTATCTCATGTTGCAGATGTGGTCCCAGGCACCAAAACCTACAAAAGAAAGGATCTACATATAGGCCAGAGCAGCCTCACGGACCGCATCTCTCCTGGGCTTTCCTTTTCTCTCCCAACCTTTGAAGTAAGACATTGTTTTCAGTGTTCTCCAATGACAGAAACATGCTCTCCATTTCCTCCTGTTTGATGCTAGGGGTTAAGCTACTCTGTTCCCTGATTCAGGTTATATAGCATGAAAAAAGACGCAGCTTTCATAATCAAAAAGTCAAATCTGGGGTTGTCTGGGTCATACAGTCAGTTAAGCATCCAATTCTTGGGTTTCAGCTCAGGTTGTGATCTCAGGGTTGTGAAATCGAGCCTGGTGTTGGGTCTGTGCTCAGTGGGGAATCTGCTGGAGATTCTCTCTGTCCCTTCTCCCCACAAATATTTAAACCAAATCATATTAAAGTTAGGGAAAATAAAAAAGGAAACCAAACCCGTTATTATGTTTCATCATCCTATAGAAGTTATAGACGCTCTGGATAAAAACTATTTTTGGAAAAAAAAAACAAAACTATTTTTAGGGGGGGTGCCTGACTGGCTCAGTTGGAAGGGTATAGCAACTGTGGTCTTGGGGTCATGAGTTTGAGCCCCACAAGGGGTGTAGAGAGTACTTAAAAATAAAATCTTTAAAAAGAAAAAAATATAGTCTTTTAACTCTTTTTAAAACCCCATAGCACTAAACAGATTCATTCAGTGCGGTCATATTTATCGCACACCTACTATGTATCAGACAGTTCTAGGTACTGAGCATAAAGTATGGAACCAAAGTTCCAGCCTATCTCCACCTAAAATTCTGGGAGAGATAGTAAAAAAATGAATACATAATACGTTGTCAGGTAGTAGTAAGTGTTATAAAGAAAAATAGGGCAGTCTGGGTAGCTCAGCAGTTTAGCGACACCTTTGGCCCAGGGCCTGATCCTGGACACCTGGGATCGAGTCCCACGTCGGGCTCCCTGTGAGGAGCCTGCTTGTGTCTGCCTCTCTCTCTCTCTCTCTCTGTGTGTGTCTCTTATGAATAAATAGAATCTTTAAAAAAAAAAAACAACGCAAGCAAGCAGTATAAGGGGCTAAAGAATGATGGAAGAGTCTAATTTTTGACAGGGTAGTTCTGGATAGGATAGCCTGGGGGAATAACATTTGGCAGAGACCTAAAGATAGTTTTCTAACGGGTTCCATGTGCACACATTGATCTACACTCCAAAAGCATCTGGCATGTGAACTCCCTAGGTCCCAAGAGGGCTGACTGGGAATAAAGAGGGTGCTCCTACTAGAAGTGAATGGCCATAATTAGTTCATATAGTTTCAATTCCATCAATTCATAATGACCCAACATCACAAATGAAGTCTGCATGATGAGCCCGCATGTCCCAAGGAGGTCTTCCTCAGACTGGAAGATGACAATTTAATCGAGTCAAGGGTCCTCATCTTCAAGGATGCACTAGATTACCAACCCCTCCTCCCCATCCTCAGGCCCCTCCTCAGCAGATGCTCTAGAGACTGCCCGATGGGACACACTGAAAGCCAAGAGAGACAAGAGTCTGGTTCTATGAAAGATCTACTCACTACTGAGAAGGGTTGCAGAACCAGGGGAAATGGAACTGACTCTGTTGCTGTAAGTTTCTGGCAACTTCTCCCATACTTTTTTTGGACCTGCTTCTAGCAACAGGATTTTCTTGTCATGAAAGTGAATATCGTATCCTAAAAAAAAAAAAAAAAAAATTCAACATTTTATATCATATTGGGAAAATCAGAATTTCTTCCCTTTCTCATTCCAAGAAAAGTGACAGATTAATTCTTTAGCCCTTAGGATAGAAACTTCTCACAGAGCACACAAAATCCTAAGCAGCAGTAACATATCCCACCATTTCAGCCATGTGAACCGCTCTGCCCATGACCATAAGGTATCTCTTAACTGTCCAAAACCTGCTATGTGCAAAGAAGCAAATAATGGCAAAACTCACAATGAGCCAGTAGAATTCCCTTTGGAAAGGAAGAATGAAATATTTAGACACCAGATATTTCTAATCTTTAAACTATTAAGTCACTAAAAATTACAAATCCTGTTCAGCAGAAAAATGGAATATTTAATAAGCAAGATTCATTGTGACCTCAAGAGTAAATAAAGGATAAAGAATTAGTTTGTAAAAAGTACTGGCACATGCTACAACTTGGATGAACCTTTAAAACATTAAGCAGAATCCAAGTATATGGAAATGGGGAAAAAGCAAATCTAAAGAGACAAAAAGTTCATGAGTGGTTGCCTAGGGCTGAGGAGCTCTGGGGGGAAATGGGCAGGGACTGCTAATTTGTTCCCGTTTCTTTTAGAAGCTGATAAAAATGTTCTAAAAGTTTATGGTGGTGATATGGATGTACAACCTGTAAATATACCAAAAACCATTAAATTGTACGCCTTAAATGGGTGAACCTTGTGGTATGCAATAATATCTCAAAAGCTATTTTTAAGAAGAAAACGCCTAGCCCGATACAATGCCTGATTCCTTCCAACTGTGCCCATTCCTAAATAACAATGGGCGGGATTTAGGATGACTCCTAAGGACCCTCCCACTTTTGACCCTTCGGAACCCGGAAGGACCGAACGCTCGCCTGGGGCTCCTCTGGGCGGGGGAAAGGCCCGAGGGGCTCAGGGCTCCCGGCGTCCTCACAGGTCCTCCACGGTCCCGCTCCCCGCCCCTGCCTGCCGGGAGATGCTCTTACCCAAGGCACAGGCCATGGCGGCGCCCACCAGGCCTCCGCCCGACACCACCACATCGTACACCGCGTCTGCTCTGGCGCCCGACCACCTCCGGCAGGAGAGCAGTGGGCCTGGCCCAGCAGCTGCAGGCGGAGCCCTCCACCGGCTCGCAGCCAGCCGGGCCGCCATGACGCGGACCCGCAACCTACTCGGCGCACCTTTAAGCCCGCCTCTTCCGGCACTTCCGGAGCAGAGCTCTCCAATCCCTGGCTGCTTCGGCCCCGGCCTCCGAGCCGGAAATAGAACGCGCAAGAAGTAAGCCAATCAGAAGACGACCTTGCCAATTTGGGCGGGAAGGATTAGAGGGAGGCTCCCTGAGAAGGGGGACGGGTTCAGGCGTCCGCCTGGGAGCCAATCGGAGGCCACGGCTGGAAAAAGGGGCGGAACCCGACGCGTAGGTAGTGCAGCCACCGTAGCCGGCGCGTAGCACGGCGCTGTCCCCGCGGTTTCCGTCTCTGCCCCGCGAGGAACATGACCATCCGGAGGCCCGTGGAAGCCTACGGCGGCGCTCAGTGGAGCCGTCAGGTGAGGAGAGAAAAGAGAAGGAGAGGAATTAGGTCTGCGCCCCGGAAAGGAATCTTTAAGAGAGGAAACTGTTTGACGTTGCCTTGGAGACTGACGGCAGGGGCGTGTCGCGGAGGGGCGTGGGATCAAGATCGGCGGCGTCCGTGTGGGGCCCTTCGCAGAACCGCAGCGACGGGCCTCGGCGTTCGCTTATGCTGTCAACCACCCTAGGACTGATAGTACGATTGGTGTCCCCATTTTGTAAGAAGGAAAACTGAGGCACAGAGAGATTAAGAAATCTGCCGCAGAATCCATAACAGAAAGTAGACTGGCGGTTGCTTCGGGCTGGCGGGGAGGGAAGATTGGAAGGACTGGGCAAAATGGGGAGGCGCTGCTAACTGGTGAAGGCTTTCTTTGGGGGCGATTAAAATGCTCTAAGATTGATGGCGGTGATGATTGCACAGCTCTGTGAATATACCAAAACCCACTGAATTGTACTCTTTCAGTAAGTGAATTGTATGAATTGTATGGTGTCCAAATTATCTCTCAATAAAGTCATTTTTAAAAAAATCTCCTAAGATCACAGGCTCCTCAGTAGCAGAGCAGGGGCTGGAGCACATATGTATCTTTGATTCAGAATCCAGTGTTCTTTTCAGTATTAGAGTTGGACCTTAGAGAACCCAGTAGAACCATCGCCCAGTGTCACCTGGAGGCCTGTAGCGGCCTACCCTTGATTTCCAGATGCAACCAGTCATCTTCTCCAGGCCAATCCTGGCCCCACACCTGCTTCTCTAAGGATATCTCATACCGCTGTCCCCAGCCACACTGGCCCTCCCCTATCTCTCCAAGAGCCAAGTTTGTTCCTGCATCAAGGCCTTTGCATTAGCTTTTCCTTGAACCCAGGACCCTCTTACCCCAGATCTTAGAGAGGCTGACCCCCTCTCATTAATCAGGTGTCAGTCCAAAACTCCTCCACGGTGAGAAAGTAAAAATCAGCCCAGACTGAGAAAGTACAATTCAGACTGTAATAGACACAGATAAGGCCAAAAGCCAGATCAGCAGAAAACAATGTTTCACACAGGGCCACAGCATACCTGCCAGGAGACTAAGCCCCCTTCTAAATGGTGATGCTTATCTATCAGTTACTTACCCAGCCCCACTTTGTTCTGGTTACCTTTTGAATAAAAACTGCTCAATCACTCACTTACTAAACTGCAAATGTGCCCTCTTCATGACAGCATCCATCCAGGAGGATTCACTCTCCTCCTCAGAATCATTCAGGACAAGCCAACCCTAGAAAAAGCCCCTCCATCACCCCCCTACTGAAAGTCCCCACCCTCACCGCCCCAACCCGCAAGTTCCCTATAATTTTTCATGGTGTTCTCCAACGAATTAATAAGCCCAACTCATTATAGATCCATTCCTTTATCTGATGGGTTTTATCTACAGAAAAGCTTCCCCAAACCACTCCATCACTGTATAATCTCACAGTTTATATATAGCTTTCGCTGAATTTACTATCATTTTATATTGCCTGTCTCCCTCACTAAAACGTAAGCTTCATGACTAGGGGCCTTGTTTGACTTGTTCTCAGCCTAATGTCCAGTACATATTGGGCACCAAATACGTTATTTCCTAAACGAATGGAGTATTTAGACCCACCTTCTACGACATTGTCCTTTCAGCTAGAGCACATTGTCCAGTTAGTTATTCACTCCTAGTGACAAGGTGGATAGTAGGTAGACTATGAGGAAAGCACAGGTGTAGATAGGAAAAACGAAAAAGAAGACTGGCAACAAGTAGGTAAAACTCAAATAGGGCAAGGCCTAGAGTGTGACCAAGGTCATGGGTGGGATTCTGGGAGTGCAGGGGGCAGAATGAATGATGCAGAGTGGGTATTGTGTAAACACTCACTGCACATGAGGTAGGGGACCAATGTTAGCTGTTTCCCTTTCCTGCCCTTCAACCAAGCACACCTCACATACCAATTTGTGAAATTTCTTTAAAGCAAGGAACACATCTTATTTTTCTTCCTTCCTGGTCCCTAATATACAGAGATTTATTCAAAGTGAAATTAACAGTTACATTTTGAGTAATTTTGAAATTATAGTTGATCCACAGTCTATTCTATTTCATTTTAGGCATTTCCCCCCAAATCTTCCTCAGACACGGAGACAGATGAGGAGCTGTCTGGGGATGGGCTGGTTTTGCCTAGGGCGGGCAAACTTGATGACTTCCTCAGCCCAGAGGAGGAGGCAGTTTCTGATTCTTCTGACTCAACTGGGAGCTTTTCTGAGACTCTGGAGGCACTGAAGCAGAAAGGCAGGTGGTGCCTATTGGAATATCTGTATCCATCTGACCCAGACAATGGTGAGAACTTCTCCGAAGATGATGAGGACCTGGAGGGTTTCTTCCAAGACAAAGGCAGGGGGAAGCCACAGGTTCACTCCCCACCATCTCCGAGGTAAGGTCCTGCAGGTCAACGGCTGCTTCGTGCAGAACTCTGGCCAGGTCATGTCGTGACTCTGGGCCTCATCGTCTTCCTCAGTAAAGCAGAGATCACTTCTGCTGGTTGTCCCTTACCTAGGTTCCATCTCAGAATCAGCCTTCGGAGCCAACCATGTTCTGATTCCTACCCAGCAGTCCTATTCACTTTGAGTAACCCTCGGTGACTGGAAGCCCTGGAATTGATTAAAGGGATGCCTTTCTCACTCCTCACTCCCTCTCTGAGAATGGGGAGGCCATTCTTACCCTGGCCAAGCCCTGCTGTATGCATATACGCTGTATTTATAAAATATTTAATATTATTTTCTCTTCCCAATAAGTAGATTATTTTTGCCATTCTCCAGATAAGGAAATCGAGGTTCCAAGCAAACTGTGCTAAAGGTCACACGGCTGGTAATTGTTCGGAGCAAGATTTGAACCTGGGTCCAACTCTAAAGCCCTGCTCTGCACCCATGCACTGTTCTCTCTCTCCCATATGAAAATATTAGAATGCAGGGCACCTGGCTGGGTCAGCTGGTAGAGCGTGCGACTCTTGATCTCGGGGCTATGAGTTCAAGCCCCACGCTGGGTGTGGAGATTACTTAAAAAAATAAAATCTAAAAAAATAATAAAATAAAATAAAATAAAATCTTTAGGGACGCCTGGGTGGCTCAGCAGTTGAGCATCTGCCTTTGGCTGAGGGTGTAATCCCAGGGTCCCAGGAGGGAGTCCTGCATTCCTGGATCAGGTGCTCAACTGCTGAGCTACCCAGGTGTCCGAAGTAAAGTGGCAATTCTTGAATCAATTCTGAGAATAGGCTTTCTCACGGGCCGGCCCACTAGATGGCCTGACAGAAAGGAGGGAGGCCGAGTTGAGAGGCACTGGTTCAGAGGCCTGTGAGGCGAAGGTGAAGTGAGGCTGAGAAGCTGCCACCGCCTGGGAGGGAGGACCCGGCCTCCAGAGCCTGCCCTGCCTTCCTCTCATTGCTCTCCCCACAGGTGTGGCTCCGCAAGGCGCTGCAGCTCCCTAAGCAGCCTTCCCTCCGACGTCCCCAAGGGTCAGCTCCAGCCACCCTCAGGCGCCAGGCCTCCTTCGCAGCACAGAAGCATCAGCTCCTGGGCATCGTCCATCACTGTCCCTCGGCCGTTCCGCATGACACTGCGTGAGGCCCAGAAGAAGGCTCAGTGGCTGGCCTCTCCTGCTTCCTTTGAGCAGGAGAGGAAGCGGGCCCAGAGGCAGGGTCAGGAGGAGGCCGAGTGCTACCGTCAGTTCCGAGCACAGCCCGTGCCCGCGCACGTCCACCTGCCCCTGTACCAGGAGGTCATGGAGCGCAGCGAGGCCCGCAGGCAGGCGGGGATCCAGAAGAGGAAGGAGCTGCTGCTGTCCTCCATGAAGCCCTTCAGCTTCCTCGTGAGGGAGGAGCAGAGAAAGGAAGCTGTTAAACACCGGGACGTGGCCGCCACAGCTAAGGCCCAGGTCCCCAAGCAGAAGGCCACCAGAAGGATCCCCAAGTCCATTCTGGAGCCAGCCCTCGGGGACAAGCTCCAGGGTAAAGACATCCTTCCTCACTTTGCTGCTTCCTGCCCAGGGCTTTCTGGAGGTGCGGGCGGGGGTGGGGGGGGCACTTAGGCTCCAGCCGGCCTGGCTTGGAGAAAGATTCATTGCTCAGGTGGAGTGGCCTCCAGGCCATGCTCAGGGCAGGCCCTGGGGGGATCAAGGGGTAGCCCAGGCAGGAGCAGGGCGTGAGGGGGGGCACAGCGTTCCCCAGGTGTGTCCTGCAACACCCAAGAACCGGCTGAGGCCAGTGCCGCCACCAGCTGTCCCTGAGGGAGGCTCCTACCCATCCCTCCTGGTGTGTGTGGGGGGGCAGGGGGATGCATATTTCAAGAACTGTGGTTCAGTGAGAGGACTCAGGCTTTACTCATCAGTATGGTGCCAAGCCCCAGGCGCTACTTTCTCTGCGTGGGATAGACAGGCATGGCGTTTGTAGACGTGGGAGGAGGACATATAATAGAGAATAAAATGACAAATGCGGTGAGTGGTCTGCAAGGACAAAAGTCTTACCTCTCGTCCAGAGCACAGAACAGAGGGACCTAACTTTGGACTCGGTGAGGCAGTGGGAGCAGGGGAAAGTGGGAGCAGTCCCCGGAGAAAGTGGGCACCGAACTGACCTTGCAGGACGGGCTGTGCTGAATTCAGGGGAGAGGGAAGGAAAGTGAACCTAGCCAGGAGGTCAGAGGAAGCTGAACACATGCAAGGGATAGGGGATGGGAGAGAAGGGAGAATGGGGAGGGAGAGGCAGGCACGGGCCAGACCTGGGGGCTTGTGGGCCCTGGGAGGAAATTTGGACTTCATGGCAAGGGCAACGGGGAGCTATGGAAGGGCTTTACATAGGGTGGCTCAGGATCAGCCGTGCAGCTCAGGAAGGTCACTCGGATGCTGTGGAGGTGGTTCTGGGGGGAGGCACAGGCCTGAAGGGATGTTGATCTCTAGGACACTATGACAACACTTCAGGGGAGAGATGAGCTGCAGGGACGCTGAGGGGAGGCCAGACAGGAGCACCGATAAAGAGCAGGAGATGCAGGAGTTGGGATGGGCCAGAGAAGGCAGGCAAGAATGACCGGGGCTACAGTGTGGGCCTCTGGGTGGCTGGTGGGGACTTCCCTGGGCCCAGGGTGGGCCCCTCCAGCTCGGCCTCGAAGGAGAAGTGCAGAAAGGCTCAGGAGGCACGGGCTCTGGGCACCTGGCAGCAGTGTCCCGGCCAGTGTTTGTGAACGAGCTCTCCAGAAAAGGAAAAGCAAGCAGATCTGTAGTGTTTGCCACTTTCCGTGGCCTACCTCTCCCGGCCAGGGTAGAGCTTCCCGTGTGATGCCACCTGGTTCACAAAATTCCTGTAAAGCTGTCAGTCAGCCCAGCACACTAGTTCTAGTGTGTGAAAGGGAACATTCTCCAAACCTTTAGGTATGAGGCGGGGTCCCCTCTCACCTGTCACCACCCTGACTTTTTCTCCACAGAAGCTGAACTCCTCAGGAAAATTCGCATCCAGATGAGAGCCCTAGACATGCTCCAGACGGCCTCCTCCCCGGTCGCCTCCTCAGGCAGCCGGGCTGACCCACAGCTTCGCACAGCTGCCCGAACCCAGAAGGAAAAGCTTGGGTTTCTGCAGACTGACTTTGGATTCCAGCCTCGTGTGAATCCCGCCGTCCCTGACTACGAAGCCCTTTACAAGGCCTTCCAGAGAAGGGCTGCCAAGAGAAGGGACACCAGAGAGGTGACGTGCAACAAGCCTTTCTTGCTGAGAACCGGCAGCCTGCGTCGAGCTCAGCGGCCCTGTGACACCGCTCCGTCCGGAGGGAGGAGGGTGAGAGCCCAGGCAGCTGCAGGAGGCTCAGGGCCTGGGACCCAGAATACAGGCCAGGTCTCAACCGAAGGCATTTCTCATGACATTTTTTTAATTTTCTTTTTTTTAAACACTGGCTCAGTTGTGAGCTCAATTCCTATAAACTTAGGACCATAAGAATCTTGCCTGCCTTGCCTTCCTAGAGGGAACTTTTCTAGAGGGATTTTGCAGAAATAAGTCAAAGCAGCTAGAAAGTAGGGAGTAGGGATCAATTGCTCATGTCCCTCTATCAATTCTAAAGAGCCCGTCTCTTCTGATTTTAAAACTTCAGGATTCATATCCAACTCTTGGCCTGCTAATAAACTTGAGAACTCATTAATCTTTCCATAATCCCAGGGGGAAAAAAGATTCTTGTCTGACTAGTCTTTCATTGAAATTGAATCCTAGTTATAATAGAAACTAATCACACTCTGTTGTCCCATCAATACCAGCCTTCATTTTTTCCAGGACTCTCCACAGCCACCAGCCACACCCCTGCCAAGGAGTCGGTCTCTGAGTGGCCTTGCTTCCCTCTCTGCCAACACCCTCCCAGTGCACATCACAGATGCCACCAGGAAGAGGGAATCTGCAGTCAGGTGAGTGGTCAGGCTTGAGTTCTTGCCCCAGGATCACGATCAGTGGTCGGTGCTTGGATCTTGACCTCGATGCTAAAACCCATCATCCTTCTGGGCCCCCTCTCCTGTTATCAGACAGACCTATAGGGGTGGAAGGGAACTCTCTGATCGGGACAGAATACATACAACCCTCCACACGTAGTGCCGGGGAACATTTGGCCATCACTCAGCAAATAATTCATGGGGAACTTACTCTATGCCAGTCACAGTTTAAGGCTGGAGATACCTTATGGAACCTATGGTTTAAAATCAAGTGTGAAGTGCAGAAAAGCAAAGAAGTTACCATATTTTGCAAGTAGTACAGTGGTGGGGGAACAGAGAACCTTGGGGGTACTGGACAGCCTGGGGCAGGGGTCTCTTTAATAGGTCTCTGGAGAATGAGGAATTAGCCAAAGGCTGGAAAGAAAGAAGGTTCCAGAGAGGACAACATGGGTGAGGACCCACAGATGAAAGAGGAAGCCATCAAGAACAGGAATTCAGAGAAGCATGATGGCAGGTAGCTGACCCGGTCACAAAGAGAAGGCATCTTTGTCCCCCGCACAGATTTGAGATCCTCTGAGATCACCTTGGGGAACTATCAGAAGTCAGCTGAGAAGCAGGAGGCTCCTTACTTTTTAATTCTTTAACTGACTGACTCTGTCATGGTATTGTTCTCCTCAAGCCAGCACCCCAGCAAGATTCCTCCACTTGACTTCTGAGCTGAAGTCAGCAGGAAAGGTCATGGTATTAACAGGCAGCTGAGCTCTGGGAGAGACCTGGCATCTTAGTGCTTTCCTGTGGGGCCCACGGAGGAGTACACGGGACCTCCTTGGCCCTTTAGGACCTTCAGCAGGGATGCAGAAATGTATTTAGGATCCAAGAGATACTCCCTTCTTCCTCAAATTTCTTAGAGCTACTAAATGAAAGCTGAATGTATCAGTATCCTGAGGTCCCAGTAAGGTGGGCCTGATGAGCCAGAAGCTGGTCCCCCTCCGGGGGATGTCCAAATCTGCTTCCCAACAACGGGAGTTTGATATAATAGCAGACTCAACTTTCATGCATTCCTTCCTGATCTGTTCATCTGAATATAAATATCCAAATGCAAAAGTCTTGACTGTTTTTTCTTTTGACCTCTCCATAGTACTTTGTCAAATGATACCCAAACTAAATGTAAGTTAGCCCCAAATTGTGCCTGGAAAGAGGCCTATTTTCAGTTCTCTGTGAAAATGCAGATTTGCATTCTCAAAGGTACCTTCCAGCTCACCGTTCACAGCATGGTGGTCAAGGGCAGATGCTTGGGAGTCAGGACATCCGGTTCTAACTTGGCTTTTCCACTGGCATGCTGGGTAGCTTTGAGTAAGTGGCTTACCCTCTCTGAATCTGGATCTCATTGCCTATAAAAAGAGCGGCTTACAGTTCTTACCTCGTAGAGCAGTTATGAAGATAATGGATATAAAGCACTTGATTCCTTTCTGCTTTTGGTTCAGAGTAAGTAGCTGAGCAAATGGTAGCTCTAAATATCATTTTGTTCTCAGGCTAGACAGGTGAGTGTAAGGATATTTTAATTCCTATGGTTTTTCAGTTCAATTAATGAACTTCTCCTAGAGCAGAAAATCACTGTGTCCATAGTACTGAGAAAGCTTCATCTGCCAATCTCTGAATCCTATTCTTTCCGAAATGTCACTATGGTTAATCACCCCTTCATAGAAAACACCATTTCACTTTCCAGAGAGGTTACCACGGTTGCTTTTAAATATAGTCAAGTCAGTCGGTCATCTGTATGTTTTTTGCCTCCTCTCTTTAGAAGTTCACTTGAAAAAAAGGACAAAGCAGATGAGAGTACTCAGTGGTTAGAGATGCACAAAAAGAAGTGTCAAGCCATGTCTAAATCTGTGACCTTGCGTGCAAAAGCCATGGATCCCCATAAAAGCCTGGAGGAGGTGTTCAAAGCAAAGCTGAAAGAGAATCGGTCAGTGTCCTCCATATGTCAAAAGGTGCCTATTTGGGGATCCAACAGATCATTGGCATTAAAAAATGGCAAAATGGAGTTATTAGAGTAAGACTCCTGTAATTGCACACAATCAAGGGTTTTGCTAGGCACAGTTGGGAATTTACAATGTCCTTGGGAATTACTATGCCTAATTGGGAGTGAAGGGTATTCCAGATAGGAAAAAGACAGAATTCATTCTAAAAATCTTGTTAATTCCAGGAACAATGACCGTAAAAGAGCAAAAGAGTATAAGAAAGAATTGGAAGAAATGAAGAAGAGAATACAAACAAGGCCCTATCTCTTTGAACAAGTTACCAAGGTAAAACTAAACCATCATTCATTTTCCTTCAGGATGAAAGGGCTCTTAGAAATGATGCAACGGTTTAACCTGGGTAGTAAACATTTCCTTGAGGCTCAGAAAGATTCTAAATTGCACCTATTTTATTAACCACCATTTTTCCCCCAATTAAGCAGTGCAGTGGTGAACACTGCTTGGACTGATTTCGTCCCAGACTGGACACAGGGGGCATCTGTAAGTATTTCAGCTCCTGGAGTGTCCACTGCAGTCCTTTCAGTGTTAATCACGGGGAGGGTGAGATCCCACATGCACAGCGACAGTTTGGCTGTGGTAGTGAGATCTTGAACTCATTAACATCATCTCTTATCATCAGCCGTGCTGGTACCCCGGACATTCCCAGCCTCTAGAACTGTGGCAAGTTTATGGGCCTCCAGACATTGGGATGCTCACAAGTACCCCAGAAAGCCCTTTTCAGATTAAGTGGCTTTCAGGATGGAAGAATCATTTTAAGATGTTCTCTAGGCGTTTAGGGGAAGTTGGACCCAGTTGAGATCTCCTCTCCCTAAAGAAACTGTGGAGCTATCTGAACAGCCTTAGAAAGGCCACCATCGCTAGTTTCTGGGTGGTATCAGGCTCTGTAGATCCCTCTTTTCTCCAGTTTCAGACAAAAGTTGGCGGTTCCTAGTGACCTGATTCCAACTGCTGAACGTTATCTCCATTTTACAGCCAGTTTGTTATTTAGGTATTTGGGAAGAGTCCACTCCTCCCACCCCCATACATACCACACCACACACACATTCACACACATGTGCACGCACTGCACAGTCTTGGATTTAGTTAGCAACTTGCATTATTCAAAATCTCACAATGACCTTTCTTCTTCATGTTAGTTTTTTCAAGCAAAGCTCACTCTTAGATTTCAACAGATCTTTGATCACTTTAGGAAAAATACAAAGTGTTCTATGTGATTTTGCTTAAAACAAACAAAAAAAAAATAACTTTTTCTGGCCCACATGCAGACCACCTATTCTGTTAAGAGTGTTCTAGTGCAGTTTATTTCCTGTTATATTTTAGTGATTTTTTTTTATATTTTAGTGTTTTTTTTTTTTTTTAAGATTTTATTTTGTTTACTCATGAGAGACAAAGAGAGAGAGGCAGAGACACAGGCAGAGGGAGAAGTAGGCTCCATGCAGGGAGCCCAACGTGGGACTCAATCCCGGGTCTCCAGGATCATGCCCTGGACCGAAGGTGGCGCTAAACCGCTGAGCCACCCAGGGATCCCTTAAAATGTTTTTAAGTCCATTTTTTTTTTTTTTCATCTGAGTCTTACTTGGTCTTCCAAAAATCTAAATCCTTGCTTCTCAAAGGTGTGGCTCCCAAATCAATAGTTGGCATCTCCAGGAGTGTTTGATATACAGCTTTGTGAGCCTTATCTGAGACCTACCAAATGGGAATTACATTAATAACAAGATTTTCAGGTAGTACCTATGTACTTTAAGGCTTTGAAAAAGGCTCTAAGAAATTTTCATGCACAACTGTGCCCATCACTAATGGGAGGTTGGGGCAGGAGGCAAATTTAGACATTTACAGATTAAGCAAGTGATTTAAAATTACCTGGTAATTCACAAGACAGCTACAGCAGATTAATTTCCATTCCACAGGACCTTGCCAGGAAAGCAGCAGAACAACGGTATCGAGACACCCTGAAGCAGGCTGGGCTGGATGAAGACTTTGTGAAGAACAAGGGTCAGGGCACCCAGGATGTACAATGGAAGCAGCAATCAGAAGTCCGTGACTGTCCCAGGTAATCTCAGATGCTCCTTGTTATCCTGCAGCTCTCAAATTGCCATCCCTAGTAATGCCACTGGGAGGGACCTTTAGGACAGCCACTCATATATTTTGAGATCACAATTTTGTATTTATAGAATACTAATCCAGAGATCTCCAACACATTTAAATTGGTAGAATAGTGCAATTGTGAATAAAATTTAACCATTGTATATTTAGATTCCTTCAATTTGAAACTGATCATTTTTCTAATTCTAGTTCTAGAACCATCAGTCAAGAATATTTCCACTTCACTTTTGAAAAACAAACTTGTGTGTGCACGCATGCATGTGTGTATGCATATGTATTTTTTTTTAAGTAGGCTCCACACCCAGCATGGAACCAATGGGGGGCTTGAACTCATGACCCTGAGACCGAGACACAAGCTAAGGTTAATAGTCGGATACTTAACTGACTGACCCACCCAGGCGCCCCAATGTGTATTTTTATTTACTATAAAATGATAAAAATATTTTTCTAGCACTTTTTATTTTGTTTGGAAACTGAAGGTAAAAATCTCTACAGAGCCACAATAAAAGCTATAAACTCCTAAACAATCCAAGCCTTCCCCCCCCCATGGTCACTATGGTTTTTAAAATCTAGCACTCTTTAAAAAAGTTAACTCATAGCACCACCCCTCCACTGGTATGTAAGTAAAGGTGAGAAAAGCATAGTTATCACCATTATTCTCAACTTTATTTCTTAAATCCTAATGGTCCCTCTCTTAATTCCTATCCCAGTTTTCCACCTAGAAATTTCCCTTTACACACATATAAAATAATGAAAATGTTGAAACCATCCTTAAGCCTTACATAATGCTTTAATTAAAAACATTTTATTTCATAATGCTTTAATTTATTCTGTAGCACCCATGAAACTACAAAACTCAGCACCAGAAATCTACAGCAGGATTTAGAAGAATCTCTACAACAGCCTACAAGCCCCAAGAAAGAACTGGAAGAGCTGTCTTATGAGTTGCTAAATAATTTCAAATCACTTGTTTAATCATTAACACTTAAAATTACTGTTTTCAATATTAACCAGCTGACTTGGGGTTGAGTCAGGGCAGGCAAAACTTGGCTTCTGAGTCAATGGCTACTCTTGGAGAAGGGGGAAAAAGAGAAGTTCTAGGGGGGTTAAAAGCAGATAACAAACAAGGAATGGTTTAAGTAAATCAAAGTAGAAAACCTCAGGACAGAGGGATCAGAGCTGAGTTAAGCATTCTAGCTTTGTGCCTACTTTTAAAAAAAGGACACAAGCCCAAATACCTACAAGGGGCTAATGAGGAAACAAATGGATCACTTGGGCTGAGTATAAGATAGTAGGAGACAGTAGAGACTGGAGTCTCTGCTACAACACAGGCCCAGAATTGCCAGATCAACCAAGTTTTCAACAGAAGCCAGAAATTTGCATACTGGCAACTAATTTAAAAATTACTTAGAAATACTGTGTGGGAGTTAACAAAACACCTGCAGGATGACAAGCTTGCAGCTTCTAGTACATGGTTTCTCAGCTTCAGTACTATTGACATTTTGGGCCAGATGAGTCTGCGTGGGTGCTGGCAGAGGGAGCTATCCTGTACATGGATGTAGGATGTTTAGCAGCATCCCTGGCTTCTACTCACTAGATGCCAGTAACTCCTTCTCTCCAGTTGTGACAAACAAAAAATGTCTCTAGATATTGCTACATGTGGAGCATGGGTCAGGCAAAAATGTTCCCAATTAAGAACCACTGCTCTAGTATAAAAGTAAGCCTGTAGGAAATAAAAACTGGCAATTTTAAGAATACAAGAAATTGATATGAACTCAATCTACATAACAGAGGATGATTATTGCATGTCATTAACAAATTAAGAACTATATTTATTTAAAACAGCAGTTAATTCTTTCCTGTTATCTGCTTAGAATATGCCACTGTGTGCATGGTATGTATATATCCCCATGAGGATCATTTTAAATAAAAGTGAAAATTCTCTTGACAGACACGATTTTCTATTAGTAAGTGATCTTTGGAACACTTTTCTTCTCACCAATGATAATCAGATACTCCTTATCAGCTGTAGAGACAGGATGATAGGAAGAGTGCCTACTCTTAACAGAAGCACATTTCTCATGGGTTTTTTTTTAACTTTCTGGGAAAAATTCAAAAGTATCTATTATTGCCATTTTTCCAGACTCAGACATGGGTCCTTTCTGTTGATAACAGCAGTACTACAATAACTACTCTAGGTTTGCTAGTTAGAGATAAAGATGCTCCTGTCCTGTTCCCCAAAACTCCTAGCCTCAGTTTTATCTGCATCCAAAGGGTAAATCAGTGCCCTCTCTTAAAGGGAAAGCCTTAACTATTATATTACTCTCCTCTTTAAGAAAACAAATTTTGTCCAAAACAAGGAGTCAAAGAACTGACTGGGCTGTCTTGTTTATTTAAAGGGAAAACAACTGAAGGTCTGAATCATGTGATATTTAACTTTCAAAAAAACAAAATCCTTTTAACATGCTACTGTATATTCCATAAACAAAGCAAAATAACCAAGTAGAGGTGGATATGACAAGATAGTACCTCAGCCCGGGCCAAGTAGGGATTCAAGTAATTTATTTTTTTTGCAGCCCAGTGGCAGAGAGTCTCTTACTCAGGTTGCTAAAGGGAAAATGCCACAATAGAATTGACATCACTCCCTTCTCCAAAGCAACAAGGCATCTTGAAAGCTCAACTTCTTGGTGAAGTTTTATGGTTGGTGGCAGGATTTAGTTCATCCTGGTGAAAAGCCAGCTGAGTCTGGGATGCAAATTCTTCAAATGAAAATCCCTTCTCAACAGTTACACTGAAGAAATTTCAGCCAACACGTAATCAAATTCCCTTTTGGGAGAAGTCCATCCCAAAATTTTGTAGTGGGAAGAGAGGTAGGTACAGTTACCCAGCCCACATTCACTGCTTTCTTCCTTGTCTGGATCAGATGTAGTTTGAAGAGAAGCTCTCCTACATTCATCTTCTGTGTCAGAGAAGATGAACAGAGGCAAAAGTGGGGTCCTGTCCTTCACAGATTCATTTTGGTTCTGGCAGATTACGAGCCATAAGCGTCTTGTTCCCACTATGTGCACTCCAGGATCAGATAGAGCTGCTCTTCCAGGAGGTGGTACCCATGCTCATGTCCGTCTTTCAGTTAATTCTCCTTGGTTTAGTAACTGTAATAGATTAAAACCAAGTCTGCAGTAGGCTGCCACTGAATAACAGGAAAAATAATTCATACAAAGGAAAAGGTTTATGAGCGGAAATGGGGAAGGCACAGCAGGGGTGAGTCAAGTAGATCTAGTTCCAAAGCAGAAGACACACGTAAACAGATGTATCTCTTTCATATCCTGGCCTTGGAACAGCATTCTGGCCACTTCATAATGCTGGCATTTTCACTATGGCAATAAAATATCCTGAGTCCATAAGCCAAATTATTGTCTTGTCGGGTACTGACCAGCCAATGACGGAGGCATCTAGAACTTACAGATACATCAGAAATGGTGAAAGCAAAAACCTTACGTCAGTGTTAGTCCAAATACAGATAGGATGCTCAAGTAGAAGAGGAATGGGCAGCTATTTCCAGTGAGTTCTGCATGAGGGCTAGAAGCCACTTATAGGGAATCCAGGGATTCCCAGGGCTTAAAAGGATGCCTTTCCTATGATGAGGGGAGATAAGCTTGAGACTCCGAGAGGGTAGCAGCTGAAAAAGTGGACTTTCTACTCCACACTCAACTTCTGTTGAAAGGCAGTTCTATAATAACTGATGAACTCGGGTTCCATTTTATTATGAGAATGAGATGGGAATAACAGTGAAGTTCAGGATAAAAAAAGTGGCTTAGTAAAATATAACCAGATAAAGTCTTAGGCTGAAAATATATTTATTGTGGTGATCTCAATTTGGATGAAGGTAATTTATATGGAATTTAATAATATGGAATATAAAGAAATTTAAAGAAACCATAAATTTCAACTGATGCTGTGGTGGGGATGCAAGAATGGTGTCTTTTTAATATAGATCAAGATTCAGATGTTTGCATTCAAATTTAGCAATGGCATTTCATGAGAAATCTTCAAGAATTTTGCAATTTGTTTTCCTCTTTTTGAGGACAAATTCTGGTATCTTCAGGGCTAGCTGGCAATCATTTCTACTGGTTCCTGAGTTCAACAATGTGAGCTTAATGTGACTACAGAACCCCACTTGGGAGGTCTTTTAGCCAGCAGAGGACCAAAAGCCCTGGGCTACCAGCAGGGCCTAAACGAAGAGTCCTTGGTCTGTTGTGCAGGAGACTGGGTAACACTGAGGGGAAGACAAAAACTGTCCAATCTGAACCATCTGAATAAGATGTAGTTTTGATATATTTCCCACGATAATTTCTTTTCATTTTTTAAGAGGATAGTCTTTTTTTAAGTGTGAGTCATTTATTTATTAAGTAATATCCATGCCCAACATGGGGCTTGAACCTACCACCCCGAGATCAGAGTCCCATACTCTACTGACTAAGCCAGCCAGGAGCCCCTCCCATGATAATTTCTGATACGTGTTTGGTTATTATCTGATATTCTTGGTAAGTTTATTTTAGAGCATATTTACAGGAGTCCAAGTAGAAGTGCACCAGTAGATTCTTACAGGTTTGATCTACAATGTGTGATTATCTCCAAAAACAGAATTTGAAATGGATATGTGTTGGTTTAAGGATTACAAACATCCTTCTATCTGTGAATCCCTAAGGAATCAACATTCCTCAGTCACTGAAAGGTCAGTTAGAACCAGGAGCTTGGATGAGGAAGAGGACTAAACCTGGAGTCTTAAGGGGTTTGTAGGTTTAAAAATGAAGATATCAGAGGATGTGGTAGGCCTGCCGTGATAAAGGAGGGATGAGTAGTGGGAATGCCTGTGATAAGAGGAAAATAACAGTTAATAGTGAAGGAAACACAGAAGTGAGGCTCACAGGTGTGTTTGTAAATATGTGACGACCCATGAGGGAGAAGTGATCGTCTAGGATTTTCAGCTACACTACTGACACCACTTGCCCCTTTGTGTTGTTAATATTTTTCTATTAAGTGTCTGGAGCTCCCATCATGAAACTGGGTGCTTATGCCCTTAGTGTCCTCCTGGGATGAAGGTCGAGTTTTCTTTTGTTTTTTATAGGTGGTCAGCGGTATCATGTCTGTCTGAGCCTGTGAGTAAGCATCACCCAAACAAGGACACTCTGAAGCCAATTCCAAGACCCACATGCGTAGGTCCAAGGGAAACAAATGTGCCATTACTGGACTTTTCACACATACAAATCTAACCATGTCGTTACGCAACTTAAACCATGCATGGCTCCCTACTGCCTGCCCCCAGGATACGATCATGTCCTTGAAGGCCCTTCAAGAGAGAAACCAGCTTTTCTTTCCTGCCCTCACTTTCCATTTCACATTCCAAATTATTCTACTCAACATTCTGTGGTTCCATGGTGGTTCCCTACTCCCTCACCTTCTGCCCTTGTACACATTGCTACTTTTATGCTTGTTATTTTCTTCTAATCCCTCCCACATATCCATCAAGATAATTGCCATTCATCCCTCAGGTCTCAATTTAAACTCTCAATTCACCCTTTCCATTCTCTTTGTAAGGCACAACTCCAGGGGACCATTTTGCACAGCTGTAAAAGGCAGAGGTCCAAAGTCTGACTGTAGGCTCTTTGAAGCAAAGACTGTACTTTGTTTATTACTGTTTAGTACCCAACAGAGGGCCTTGCACACATTAGGGATGTAGTATCTGTTAACTACATGGCATTTATCTGAGGAATTGAGCACAGGAAAAAAAAAAGCTTCAAGGTTTCAAATATAAAAAGGAAAAGGTTGAGTGTTGTGGATTGGTTATGTCAGGATAATAATTTCCACTAGGTAAAAAAGGAGATGATTTTTCTGGACTGTTTCAGAGTAATCCAATAGTTGATGAAAGAAAGTTGTTTTGTTTTGTTTTGTTTTAAAGAAGAATCACAGTTCATAAAAGCAGAAAGAAAAGGAATTAGGATATCACCATTTTGCAAGCCTTAATAAAAAAAAATTGATCTAGGCCATGATCAGTAACGTTTGCCAAAATTTTATGTAACCTACTGGTCAATCATTAAGCTCAGTAAGAGAGATATAACTAAACATCATGTCTGCTGTGAGCTGTTAACAGAAAGCAAGAGTATACCTAAAGAATACTCTTGCCAAGGGCAGCCCAGGTGGCTCAGGGGTTTAGAGCCACCTTCGGTCCAGGAAGTGATCCTGGAGACCCGGGATCGAGTCCCAAGTCAGGCTCCCTGCATGGAGACTGCTTCTCCCTCTGCCTGTGTCTCTGCCTCTCTCTCTCTCTCTCATGAATAAATAAATAAAATCCATAAAAAAAAAAAAAAAGAATATTCTTGCCAAGGCAAAAAAACATAAAGATGACTCTAAGCTCCTAACTAGCAGTTTTTAGGAAATCTGTGGATATATATATATATTTTTTTTTTTTTGATAGAGAAATATATTAAACAAAAAAAGGAATCAGGGATCCCTGGGTGGCTCAGCGGTTTAGCGCCACCTTCAGCCCAGTGTGATCCTGGGGTCCCGAGATCGAGTCCCACATCAGGCTCCCTGCATGGAGCCTGTTTCTCCCTCTGTCTGTGTCTCTGCCTCTTTCTGTGTGTCTCTCTCATGAATAAATAGATTAAAAAAAAAAAAGGGAATAAATCAGCCAAAACTAGAACCTGGGAAATTCTTGTTCCTTAGATAGTCATTCTGAAAAAAACGGCAGTGGGGATATGGGGGGTGGGGAAGACTATTAGAGATAAAAGAGAATTAAGAGAATTATTAACCAAATACAGTGAACCTGTCTTGTTTTACAGTGAACCTGCCTTGTTTGAATCCTAATTTAAACCAATCAACCCCCCAAATAAACCAATCAACCATTAAAAGACATTTTGAGGAAAAAAAAGGAACACAGGCTAATAAGTATTCAAGGATATCAATAAATGATTGCTAATTTTGTTGGGTATGATAAAGATACAATAGCTATGAAAAAACGTGTTACAGGTATATGCTGAAATATCTACAAGTGAAATGGTATGTCTGTGATTTGCTTTTAAATACTCCAGCAAAAAGAGAACAGCAACAAGAAGTAGGCAGGAAAGGACAGCCCAGGTGGCTCAGGGGTTTAGAGCCGCCTTCAGTCCAGGGCCTGATCCTGGAGACCTGGAATCGAGTCCCACGTCAGGATCCCTGCATGGAGCCTGCTTCTCCCTCTGCCTGTGTCTCTGCCTCTCTCTGTCTCTCATGAATAAATAAATAAAATCTTAAAAAAAAAAAATAAGTAGGCAGGAAGAGGTAAACTAAGAGCAGAAAGTTAACTGCTGAAGTTGGGGGATAGGTACAGGAGTTCATTACACTAGGGGATCCCTGAGTGGTGCAGCGGTTTGGCGCCTGCCTTTGGCCCAGGGCGCGATTCTGGAGACCCCGGATCGAGTCCCACGTCGGGCTCCCGGTGCATGGAGCCTGCTTCTCCCTCTGCCTATGTCTCTGCCTCTTTCTCTCTCTCTATGTGACTATCATAAAATAAATAAAAATTAAAAAAAAAAAAAAGGAGTTCATTACACTATACTCTTTCTCACTACACTGCTGGAAAACTTTTTTTTTTTAAAAGATTTATTCATTTATTCATGAGAGACAGAGAGAGAGAGAGAGGCAGAGACACAGGCAGAGGGAGAAGCAGGCTCCACACCAGGAGCCCGATGTGGGACTCGATCCCAGGTCTCCAGGATCACGCCCTGGGTGGAAGGAGGCACTAAACCGCTGAGCCACCTGGGCTGCCTGGAAAACTTTCGTAATAAATATTTTAAAATACGTAAGTGAAGAGAGGAAATAATAAAGGAAGCTTTCATTGGTGAGGTATGTTCCAAAGCAGTAGCCAGAAGAAGGTGACTTAGCAAAGAACCAATGATACCAAAAGCAAAAACAAAACCTTCAATATAATATAAGCAAGACTCAGACAATGGGTCACAACAATGAATATGAGGAAAGGTTCTGGCAGAATCATTAACATGCATGTCCAGAGCCCTAAGATCCTGGGCATCACCAGGAATCTTACAGAATAATCCAGAATATTCAACATAGGATGCGGTCATCTGAATCCTGGAAGAGCTGATTTTGTGGTTTCAGGTTATAATGAAAAAACGGGAGAAGACAGGAGAGCACTGTAAGAGATCCTAAAATACAAAGGCATCTGGGATAAATGGGTTTTGGCAAAAGTTTATGCATATGAAATGAGCTCATGAAGTTATCTACTCCCAGGACAAGTCAATAAAATACCCAAAAATTCTAGAAGCCTAGCTAGCTTTCATTCTGTTTTCTAGGTTATAGCCAAGACTGTAGAGTTGGGAATGCTTAGAGTCAACCTAAAACCTTTCTCTGATTTAGATGCTGGTTCTCATTCCATAAGCAAGTGAACACATTCCTATATATACCCAGTTGGTTCAGCCTGGTATCTCTCAGACATACGACCCTAACAAAATGAACAATGATTATTTTCAATGATTTTGTCACTATCTTTTTTGCTCAAGGACCACTTGGTCCAGGATATTATTTTCTTTCTAAAATAAAAGCAGTATCCTCGTGTCATAGGCAGAGAACAGTAGGAGCAGATATCATTCAGTAAGGTATGTATATAAAGGAAATTAAAGCTGAGAGACCCAGCCGATGAGGGACCAGTCTCCCAATCCAGGAGACCCTAACAATCAAGCTTAAGTTAAGCTGGACCCATGCTTAGCTTAAAGTAAGATATTCTAGTCTAAGTTTCCAGGAAAGGGAAATTGGAGTAATTTTCAGATCTTCTAAACTAGATTCCCAACCACCGTCCACATTAGTCTGCACAGAAACAAAGTAAGGGCAAGAGATAGATTTACCTCCTGTGGATTTACAGCAGTTAAGACAGAAACTTCATATGACTGCCTCCCTGACTGCATGGCCACCAAGTGATGTGTCACATCAGGCACTGAAGACAGAGGACGTGGGGATCCTTCAGCAAGCACCTCTGAAATGGCAGAAAATGCTTCAATTAAAAGTGAATCCACAGATACTCCTACCTGCATTATCAAGTCTCTCATTAAGAACACTAAAAACTGTTCACTGGAAAACCCGTATTCCTATACTTCTTCCAAATTAATTCCTGTCTAATAATCATTACCAGTGAATCTGGAAAGTACTACAAAAGGGGGATGGGAAGAAAAGGCAAGAAATTTTGATATATAAGAGTTGACCGTTTTTCAATATACCAATTTGTAGTAGTGTGGCTTTAGCACTGTTAGCTGGATTAGCCGTGCATGGAACAGGGCAAAAGCTGCTTGGGCAGGCAAATCAGGGGAGTACAGCCAACCCTTAACGCGGCCACCAACAATATAAACAGCACACTGTGCAGAAGTTAAGAATTTAAATCGGGCTTCAAAGTTCCTAACCGGTGTCCCTTCCTCCCTTGAGACTTTCTTCCTTAAGAATGGCAAAGCAGTTCCATGCAATTTCTGTGTCTCATGCTTCAACTATCTGCTAGTATCACATGACGAAAGCAAGGAGGCTTGTTGTGGAAGCAGACTCGGGGCCTTGTAGGCTCCACACAGAAGTTACACAAACACGGTCACTGATACACAAAACTGCCCGAGTGGGATACGAGTAACTCAAACACAGGATCTGGGACTTCACCAGTGGGATCACCATCAAAATCTTTTGGACAGTTTATACATAAACTACTTAGGCCTCTAATAAATTACAAAGTTTCTTTTATGGGGCTTTCAACATATACTGGTCTTCCAGACTGTACTGTGTAATTTAACATTTACTTATATGCTATCTTCTATTCACTCTCATTTCCCATATTTAAGTTTTGATTTCTCAACTACATTTTAAGGTCCCTGTTTTCTACTTTTATCTTTCCCATGGTGCCAGGCACACAGTAGGCACTGAATAAATGCATGCTGACCTCACCTGTTAAGTTTTTCAGAGAAGAGGGCCTGGCCTGTGTAACTTGGGTGAAATTTCTATACCAGAGAGGAGCAACTGTTTCCTAGAGAGCCCTTTCTTTTCTCCAGAAGATATGGCTTTTGAAGGTATGGAGAAATTGCTTTATATCTCCTCTGTAAAACCTGGTTATGTTCTGTTTAAATGTTTTAAAAGTTAAGTTCTTCCATAACTGCAACAGGAAAGATAGAAATAGTTGGGCTAGGATGCTAGGATTATGGATAATTTTCTTAAAATTTTTTCTCTTTATTCTTTTGTTACATCATCTGTTCAACAAAATAAAAAAAATATTTTTTTTAACAGATTCACTTATACATCCCAGAGACAACACAAATGCCACTCAATCATACCACAGCTACTCACAAGAAATGAAATTAATGAAAACCTCCATTTTGGAGACAATCCCATTCCTTAGTCCCTAGTTGCAGCCCATTATCCCCAAATAAAGGAGAGTTGAAAGTCTTACCATCATCAACTCCTAGGATAGAATTGGTATTTGGTAGATTCAAGGACTCTCCACCAAGGCTGGGCTGGGAATTCATAGGCACCAGGTTTTTACTGGTTACTGAGGCCTCTTCAAGCAAACTAGTGCCCATGAGTGGCTCAGCTGCACAGAGAACAGGATGTGAGAGACATGCAGCAGGCAAGGCTGTGCCGGGTTCCTGTTTTCCTTCACAGGAAGCTGGCCTTTCCTCTCAGAACTGGAAGTTAATTTGTATCTTGGATGCTATCTACTTTTAGGGAGCAAGAATAAACCTAGAAGGGAAGAGTGGAGCCTCACAGATAAATATCCTTGCCTGTGATCAACAGGCAGAGAATTAATATAGGCAATGGGACAGATGCATCCTTGGAAAGGAGTATTTGCAATGAAATAACTGATTAAAGTTAGACATGGAAATACAATAATAAAAATGAGTTACCAAATTTAAGTGAAGGTAAAAAGGGAATCATGACTGATAGGTAAAAAAATGTTTAAACTTTTGTCTTATAGAAATCTTTATCACAGTAATACTCAAATGCTCGTTCATGGATCAGCACTATTTACCATCAAACTCGCTAGGGAAGCTTCAAAACTACAGATTCTGGGATCTTACTCCCAAATAATCTCATTTATCAGACTTACTGTTTTGTTTTATTTGGGGGTGAGGGGTGGACAAGCAATACAAATATATGTTTTTAAAAGCTCACACACTTTATTGTATGGCTACATTTGGAAACCACTAGTCCATCAAATGAGACCAGGTCTCACTCCCCAGCACAGAATCTGAAAATTTCCAAATAACCAGATAGGCCAGTTATTTGGCTATTTGAGCCCAGAAGGTAGAACCCTCCACTCCACCCTCTCTCCTCACCAGTTTGCTCCTGCTCTTGACTCCCAGCTGCTCCCAGCTGCAAGTGATGCTTTCTCATGTGCACATTCCTACTCCCACTCTGAGAGAAGGTCTTCCCACAGACCTGACACTGATGAGGCTTCTCTCCTGAAACAGAGAGCAGGTTAAGAGAGGATAGCCAAAAAAACAGGGTACATTCTGACAGCAAGAAAATGGACTCAAGACCTAGACAGAGAAGCTCAGATAATGAGAAGAGGCTTTTCCTTCTCCTATTCTCTACCCAGCCTTGGAGATCCCTAGCCTCAAAACCTATATCCACCAGGGAAGGCAGGGAGAGTTCACGAGGATAGCTTAGCACACTCATTGCTCCCAACCCCTATCCTTTCCAGACCCACTGTGCTGCTGTCTTCACCTCTTTGGTAGCAGATCATAGCAGCCACATAGAATATTTCCTTCCATTTCCAGATATAGTTTTCCATGGACCTCCAGAACATGTACCATCCTCAAGGATTCCAATCCTGGGTTCATAATACCCCCTTATTATATATCCTGCCACCAGTCTCACAGTTGTCAGCCTTTAATCCGGCAGTTCTTCTACACAGTAACCTGTAGCCAGGTTTTACAGAGGAGATATAAAACCTCTGTGTTCTCAAGTCCAAAACTCAATCTGCCTTCCACCTGCTCGGATAGCCACACTTAGCGCTGGGGTCAGAAACACGTGCCTACAGGGGATTAGGAGGTGGCCAAAGTTAAGTGAAATGGCCAGAAACTGTCCAGAATAGGCAAACCCTATTTGGAGAGAGCTGAGCAGTAGTAACCTGGATCTGGGGGCAGGAGCAGGAACTGACAACCAGAGGGCACAAAGGAACTTTCTGGTGTGAGAGGTGTTTTAAAACTTGATTGTGGCAATGACTGTACAATTCTATATACTATCACTGATTTGTATGCTTACAATGCATGAATTTTTAAGGTATATGCACTAGACATCAAAAAAGCTGTTAAAAGAGAACTATAATGGATTAACATACAGTGACTATATAGAAACCCGTGCATTCACTAGAAGAAAGAACAACACCGGTTTCTTATTTTGAAAATAATTAAATGAAATGAAAAGAAAATGATCACACATTTTTCTTCCCTTTCCTGTGCAAATTACCAAACAGCCCTAGGGGATAGAGAAGAGACCTATTATACACAGAAAATTCCAGCTGATGTGAACAGAATGAAAGAATTAGAAAACCACTGTTTTACAACCCTAATGAAATAACCAATTCAGGCATCACTCAGAAATGAAATCATAAAGCAAAAGGTGCTAGGGAACTTTATAATGTGAAGATCACAGTGTTAACCACCTGAACCCACTGATGAATTCCAATAGCCAAGCACTGTGTCCCTCCTGATGATACAAAATCAGACACATATGACCATCTATAAAACATCCTTGCAAAATCTTTGAACATTTGAAGCTTTTAGGACTTACCTCCATTTAGGAAATCTAGGGGAACAAGTTAAATGATATAAAAGGAAGCAAACCAGCAAATCTAGAATGTGGGACATTTTATAAAATCCAACTACGTTGTACAATAAGTTTACAGCAGAAAAAAAAGTGAGTATAGACAGATTTAAAGATGACTTACTAAGTATAATAATTAAAATAATATAATCATTAAACCTTATTGGATCCTGATTTAAACAAACCCACTTTAAAAGACATTTTTGAGGGATCCCTGGGTGGCGCAGCGGTTTGGCGCCTGCCTTTGGCCCAGGGCGCGATCCTGGAGACCCGGGGTCGAATCCCACATCAGGCTCCCGGTGCATGGAGCCTGCTTCTCCCTCTGCCTGTGTCTCTGCCTCTCTCTCTCTCTCTATCATAAATAAAAAAAATAAATAAATAAATAAAAATAAAAGACATTTTTGAGACAACTGCAAAAAAACAAAACATGGACTGGATATGAGATAAATCCAAGGAATTGTTAATTCTGAAAGGTATGGTAACAGCACTGTTGTTATATAAGAAAATGTCCTTATTTTCTCTACTCTTACGTATGTTTGACATAATTTTATATAATAAAATTAAGATAAAATAAAAACACTCTACAAGCCAAGCAAAACAACAGTTTGCCACTTTCTATTTAGAAATAGTCTTCAGGTAAGAACTCAACTCTGAAATTCACATCCCTGATTGATTACACCTCTCCAACTCCCTTGCTCCCATTGAATTGCTTTGCTGTCCTCATCATAAATAACTTCCAGTTCCTTCTCTTCACTCCCCCTGTTCTGGCTGCCCTATACTTCCCATAGCTAACCATTTGAACAATTACTTTATTCCATTCTAGAATCTCTCTCCACTCTGAGTTCGTTCTGCCTTGGCAAGTCTCTGCTCTTGAGTAACCTCCATGGGCCATATCTGATGTAACTTATAAAGCACCCAACATAATGCCAAATAAATTTGCTGATCTCTTCAGAAAAGCTCTGGATTAGAAAACAACTCAATCAATGGCTCTGCTGAAAATAAAGCCATTAGGTCCCCCCCCCTTGATTATATAATCCTTTTAATACAATTATCAAGAGCCTTGACTTCTGATTCTGTCATGAGGAGGAGCAAACTTTATGTCGGACACTTTGTTTCTTTCTACATTTCTTTATACCATCCCCCTCCCACCCTTTCACCCTTTTGGTTCTCCACCTTCCCTGCAATCAATGACTGAAACACGTCTAGTACCTGAGTGAACCACCAAGTGTTTCCGCAGGCTAGAATACTCAGCAAAGGAACGGCCACATCCTTGGGCTTCACAAAGGAAAGGCTTCTCTCCTAGAGACAGAAAATGAGTTAGAGTCTTCTGATGAGCTGGCTATCCATTTACTCTCTTATCGCATTAACCTTATCCTGTTTCCAGTGACTTGCTTGACTTTTCTTGAATTCAGGCAATGAATGCAGCTTCAGCAGGGCTATCTATCCAGCAAGCACCACCTCTCAGTGGTCTCCTAAAAGCCTGCCAACCAGACAGCCCTGTCCTCTTCTTTAGAGTGACTACCTCTGAGCATCACACTTCCTTCTTCTTCCTGGCTCAAGGGCTGAGCACCAGCTACAATGATCTACCTTCTTCAGTGATCCTATCCCTTTTAATGGTATCAAGATTACACCGAATATGCTGTCAGGATTTTTACCTTATACCAATACCAATCCTCTTTATGATTCAGTTTCTAAATCCACTAAAAAGCACAGATTTTTAAAGGTTATGAAATAGATTTTACATAGTCCCACTGTATTAAGCAAACAAATGAAAACAGATATTCAGTCAGAGGTACAAAGTAAAATCTGTGACAATATGCTAAAGGTAGTTACATCCTGATGGATGGTGCTATTATGGATGATTTCCTTTCTTCTTTGGGCTTCTCTGTAATTTGTGCTGTCTACAATATTACATTGTTCTTCTAAAAATCAAAGATGCATGGTAAAAACTAAATAAGGCCCATGGACTAATAGTACTATTAACTTTCTGGTTTTGATATTGTACTGTGGCTACAGAAGATGTCACTTTTTGAGGAAGCTGCATAAGGCACACAACACAACTCTGTACTAATTTTGCAACTTCTCATGAAACTGTAATTATTTCAAAATAAAAAGTGAAAAAAAATCAGATGCAGTTCCTATCTGAAGGTCACAGACTAGTATGACAGAGATAATTATATTTATAAATAATTTTAATATAAATTCCTGTACAAAAAAGTGCTATACGTATTTGAGAAAGGGAAGAATTCTAGGGCACCTGGGTGGCTTGGTTGAGCGTCCAACTTTTGATTTTGGCTCAGATCATGATTTCAGGGTGGTGGGATCAAGCCCCCACCCCCACCCCACCAGTCCCGCCCATGCACTGCTCAGCAGCAAGTCTGCTTCTTTCCCTCTGCCCCTCCCCAACTCTCTTTGAAATAAATAAATCTTAAAAAATAAATAAAGTTAACATAATACAATCTCAAAAGATTACTTTGAGAACTGAGATACTACAAGTTAAATGTATTCAGCATAGTGTCTGGCATATAGCCCTCATGGTAAACCATCGAAATTGGTAGCTTTAATTACTATGGCTACTACAAATAAAGATCTGCCATCACTTTTGATATCTGAGATAAACTGAGTTGTCAGCATTTGAAAACAAAATCCTTTTAAAAGCTTTGGAGTCTAATCGGAATTTAAATCCCAACTCTGCCATTTCCTAGCTGTGTAACATTGGGCAAGTTGTTTAACTCTCTAATCTCCTACTTCTTCATTAATGAATACAGTATCTACTGTGTAAAGTATCCGTGAGGATTAAATGAGACAATGTACTTGACACATACTAAATTGCCTCAATAAATGCTTCTTTGTTTTTAAAGATTTTGTTTATTCATTTGAGACAGAGAGATACAGAGAGAGAGAGAGATACGAGAGAGAGAGAGAGAGAGCATGAGCAGAGTGAGAGGCAGACAGAGAAGCAGACTCCCTATTGAGCCAAGAGTCCTACATGGGGCTCAATCCAGGACCTGGAGATCATGACCTAAGATGAAGGCAGACGCTTAACCATCTGAGCCACCCAGGTGCCCCCTTTTATTTTTATATGAATTCTGGCAACTGGGATCTGTGAGGCAACCAGGGAGAAACAATGACAATGCACCATGAGACTGTGGTGGGAGAGATGAGAAGTTCTGGAAATGGTGAGCAATTAGGGAGATTAACAAGGGAAAGCTAGCAGGAACTAGAATGAAGAGAGAAAATAAGGTCATACTCCACAGTAAAAGAAAGCATTTTAAGATGTTCAGTTTTATCAAATCTACAAAGAGAATGAGCAGCGCGAGGATGAATTCAACAATAAGGCATGGTGGATTCTACTTCTTCCCCCAACTAGTTTGCTAGATGTTTTCTTGTTCCTTGTTCAAAGTGCTTCTTGGAGCAAGCATAGTTCACTCTCACAGAAAAAGCAGAGAACAGAGCTATTCTGCCCTAAAACATATCCAGTGGTAACATAATCCAGCAGGAATCCCAGGGATATGCCTGGAGCTTCAGCTGGGATTTCATTTTTCAATGCCCTTTAATTGTACCTACTGTCATTTTAGCAATGTAAGAAGAAAGAAGAGACCAAGAAGTGGCAAGAAAGTGAAGAAGAACACATCCTAAGAGACTGGTCTCAGTTCAGTGATTAAGCTCTAACAAGAGACTTAGCACATTTTAGGCCAAGTCGCTTGGAAAGTCACTCTTAAACTCTTAGAATGAGAGTCAGTGTATCTGTATTTTGCTCCTTTGATATTAACATGCTATTTGCTCCCGATCAAGTCACTTTGTCATTCTGCTTCTCACGTTGTGAGGTTCTCTCTACCAAAAAGCAAACTCTTCAAAGTCAGGGATTCATCTTAGCTTTTGTATTTCCCCCCATACTCTATCCCAGTTAGTGGCTAAAAGAGGCTCTGTATGGTCTGTGTCATTCAATAAATATTACTGACCAAAATTACAACTGTGTAACGTTCGAAGATATTTGGAAATACTGATTTTGTCCATATCTCACCATATCCTAGTTATCAGAGAAAGCCTGATATCCTTTCCTATTCTCTAATCTCCTACAGTCAGAAATAAACACTGTCCATTCCTCACACACAGGTGAAAGGTCAATAAATGTTACTGCATTAACTGAAAAGTACCATGAAGCATGTGAAAAGAAGAAATTCCATCCTCAGAGTCCTAGCAACAATCCTAGACCTTCATTTCTTTTCCCACCTCAGAGCCTTTCCTAAGGATAGGCAAGCAAACCCTGAACACAAGGAGTAGATTGCCTACAGGAATATTGGAGTTGCACACACCTGTATGGATGCGCAAGTGGTTCTTCAAATTTCCAGCTGTGGTGAACTGCTTACCACAGCTAGACTCGGGGCACATGAAGGGCTTCTCCCCATTATGGGTCCTCATATGCACCTTCAGCCTCTGCAACACATAGAAGCTTTTCCCACAACCTTCTGCAGGACAGATGAAAGAGCGATCATTTCTGGAAAAAAAAAAAAAATCACATAAGCAACAATACCTGAAAATGCCCTTTGCTAAAGAGTATAAGTCAAAGCTCCTATTGCCTCTCAAAGCAGACAGTAAATCCCAAACCTGAATGAATATACCAAAATCACATCTGAAGTTTGTTAAAACCACATCTGTTTATTAAAACCCTAGGCCTTACTTCCTTTTTTTTTTAAGTAACCTCTATACCCAGCATGGGGCTTAAACTCACAACCCCAAGATCAAAAGTTGCATGTTCTACCAACTAAGCCAGCCAGGTGCCCCACGCCTTATTTCCTGAGTACTGATTTCAAAGGTTTATGAGTGACACCCATGCTTTTATATATATATATATATATATATATATATATATATATAAGTTTTCCAAGAAATTATATTTTATAATGAGATTCCAGAGCTCTTGCTCTAAGATGCTTAGGTGCCAAATGTCTTATTAAGTATTTATGAAGAATGAGGTAAATGACACAATGCAAACCTTTCTATTAAAGAACAAAAGACAGGGCGCCTGGGGAGCTCAGTCATTTAAGTATCTGCCTTCGGCTCAGGTCATGATCCCAGGGTGCTGGGATCAAGCCCCACACTGGGCTCCCTGCTTAGCAGGGAGTCTGCCTCTCCCCAGCTCCAGCTCACTGTCTAAAATAAAATAAAATAAGAATAAAAGTCATCTTAATCAAAAGCTAACTGGAACCCTCGCTTCCCTTTAATTTGTCAACTGGGGGACAAGCTCCTCCAGCAGCATCAATGTTCTTGAGCTCCAAGTATGGAACCTCAGATAGGCTCACCGATGCGTTTTGAGATGGTACTTGAAGTGAGCTGGCCACACAAATGTCCGGTCACAGCCTTCAACTGTACATTTGAGCTTCTTTTCCACTTGAGGAAGGGGCCCAGAATCTTTGGGCTGCCCATCACCAGAACCAAGGTGGACATTTTCTCCTGTAATAGAGTCACATATTTGTAATATGGGGAAGGAACCTGATGAGGTAATTTAGTTCAAACAATAAAGCTCCTATATTTTACTCCTACTGATAAATAAGCAGTTATCTATCTTCACCTTCCCTTGCTTTCTTTATATCCATTTAACAACAGAAGTGACCACACAATTTGTTTCCATCCCCTTACCCCAGAGAATTATCAAAAGCCATTATGCTTTCTTTCACAAGACTAGGCCTCTTTGGCAAATATAAGAAATGTTCACAATGGTTTCATGTAAAAAAGGAGAGTTAAACCTATTCTGCATTACACAAAAGTTGGGAGGGAAGCAGGTATGTCAATACCTGGAGTAGGATGCTAAATATGACTTCTTGTTCTAGGTATTATAAAACTTGTATTTAAGACGGGCTGCCCTCCCAGCTTAATTTGGGTTTACAGTTGTAATTTCTTTTGTAAATGATCATTCTTAGATTTCTATCTTTTGAGGTCAATTGGGCTATTTCCATCATTTTAGAGAATAACCTTCCAATTTTGTGTTACCTCTCTTTAGTTATAAAATCTTTAAGGATGCAAAAACTCATCTGATTTTATAATTTCTAACCACATTTTTAAAAGCTAAAGAAAACATCAACTAAAGTTTTTTGTTCAATAGAATAAAAGGAAGAGGAGCATGTAGTACACTGCCTCTCTTAAATTTAAATGAAATTAATTAAAACTTTATATAAATCCCAGATTCACTGGTAGTAATCCTTTTCTTTCATTTTTTTTAAGATATAGTTGGACATCAACAGTGAAAAATATTCATGACTTATAAGCATTTAGTTTATCTTTCCACTATATATACCTCAGGAATAAGATTTGTATTTCCAAATTTCCCTCTCCAGAGCCAAGAATAAGGACAGTAAATGTTGTATTTCTCACATTTCCTGGAACCTGACAACAGATCATAGTTTCCATCCCGTCTATTAAACTTCTTCTCTTCCTGTCCTACATTCTCCTTGCTGTACACATAACCAAATGTTAATCATAAAACTAATTGCTCCAAGGTCCGAGTAGAACCTAAGATGCCTATTGCTAGTTAATATTAATTTTTTTCTTTTTAAATATTCTCCTGCTTGGGACGCCTGGGTGACTCAGCAGTTGAGCGCCTACCTTTGGTCCAGGAAGTGATCCTGGCGACCCAGGATCGAGTCCCACATCGGGCTCCCTGCATGGAGCCTGCTTCTCCCTCTGCCTGTGTCTCTGCCTCTCAATCTCTCTATCATAAATGAATAAATAAAAAATCTTTTAAAAAAAAGAATATATATACATTAGACAGAGAGAGGCAGAGACACAGGCAGAGGGAGAAGCAGGCTCCATGCAGGGACGTGGGACTCGACCCTGGGTCTCTAGGATCGTGCCCCGGGCCAAAGGCAGGCACTAAACCGCTGAGCCACCCAGGGATCCCGAAATCTTTAAAAAAAAAAAAAACAAACAAACAAACAACACACACACACACACAAAGCACTGTTTGGAGAAGATGGATTAACTTAAAATGACATCAACCAATGATAGTTTTGGATATTTAGAGATCTAATGAATTGGCTCCCCCACCAAAAAAGAAAAAAAACAAATTCAACACCTTATATTGCGCATGTTAGATAACACTATAAACACTTTAAAGATCCCAGAGTTATGTGAGGTCTTTGCATTTGGGATAAAATTTCCAGTGAGAGCATCACATATAGCATGGATCAGTAAATTTATTATATAAAGGGCCAGATACTAAATATTTTTGGCCTGGAGGACCATATGGTCTATTCAACTTTGCCACTGTAGCAGCCAGACAATTTGTAATGAATGGGCATGCCTGTGTACCAATAAAACTTTATTTACAAAATGTGGTTATTTGGCCCTTTGCTAACCCCCGATATAAAGCATCATATACAAAATTTAAATATTTCTGTATTTCGATCAACTTAGAAGTGAAGATGTGCTCTGAGAAACTGCTACAGGATGCACAAAATGGCTTTAGTAACAACAAATATATTTATGTTAAAGATGCATTTAAATATTGAATAAAATCATTTTATTATGTGTTAGTGGGTAAAAAGCAATATTAAATTAATATATTTCAGGATCCCTGGATGGTTCAGTGGTTGACCGTCAGCCTTCGGCTCAGGGCATGATCCTGGGATCCGGGCTTGAGTCCCACGTCAGGCTTCCTGCATGGAGCCTACTTCTCCCTCTGCCTATGTGTCTGCCTCTCTCTCTCTCTCTCTCTGTTTCTCATGAATAAAGAAAATCTTTAAAAAATAAATTAACAAAATAAATTAATATATTTCATGATTTAAAATTTTCATTTACAGTGTTTATCCATATGCCTAAAGGTTTATATATCTAAGTTAGCCCCTTAAAAGGTTTCATGGAATCATCTCATTAACAAAATAGAAAAATGTCATATATTTGGGCTCACTTTATATTCAAGCATATAAGGTAGTCATTAGGTAGTAAGGACACATATTTTGAGAGTAATAAAAACATCCACACAATGCTTTGCTGATTATAAAGCATTTCCCAGATAGAATCTTATTTAAATCTCAAAAAAAATCCTATCAGGTAAGCCACTTGATCTGTGTTCTGAGAAAACTGTTGCTAAGGAAGTTAAATCCCCCAGGCAGAAGACAAGTTAATGACAGCACCAGGTCTGGATCCCAAGTCTCCCGATGCCAAACCCCAAGTTCCCTCCATATACAGCTTCTTCCTGGCACATACAGCACTATTTCCTTAATACAAAGAGGAGATTGTGGAGGTTTCGGGATCCAGAGATTAGCAAAACCATCTCAGAAGAATCTGAACTGTATGTAGAGCCTCCCAAAATGGTTAAATGGGCCATTCTAAGCTGCATTATGGTAATCTAAGCAGAACTAATCACTCTGAAATTCACAGAAGTATGGAGTTCTCTTTGCAGTGACATGGATGGAGCTAGAGACTATTATGCTAAGTGAAATAAGTCAGTCAAAGAAGGACAAATACCATACGATTTTACTCATAGGTGGAATTTAAGAAACAAAAGAGCAAAGGGGCAAAAAAAAGAAAGAGGCAAACCAAGAAAGACTCTCAATGACTGAAAACAATTGATGGTTGCCAGAGGGGAGATGGGTGAGGAAAGAGTGAAATAGGTGCTGAGGATTAAGGAGTGCATTTGTTGTGATGAGCACCAGGTGATTCATCAGTATATTATACGCCTGAAACTAATATTACATTGTATGTTAACTAACTGGAATTTAAATAAAAACTTATAAAAAAAGACATTTGGAGTTCTCTATATAGAAAAGATTTAGGTTAATGTTTCTAAAGCCAGAATATTCTGAAATATTCTCAAGGATCCCTGAGAAAGTTTTTAATTTTTAATTTTCACTTGCATGGTAATCACAAAATAATCATAAGCATATTCTAGATCATCCACATGAGCTCCAACATGCTTCAGCCTGGTTTGTGATAATGGTAAATGTGTACCTTATACCTTACCTTAATTAGTAGTACCTAATTATAGGTACCTACTTAATTAGTAGTACTTTAATTGTCACAGATTAAAGAGAAAATACAGAAGCAGCCTAAAACAAAAAGTATTATGGCATGCTACATAAGCAAAAGTTGTGCACTGGTTTAGGGGTGGCTTAAATAGAGTCATGGTCCTCAAGTTTTAACATGCACTGGAACCCGCAAGAGGGCTTACTAAAAGATTGCATGTTTCTGATTCAGTAGGATGAGGCCTGAGAATTTATTTCTAAGAGCCCAGATGATGCTGATGACTCAAGGACTATATTTGAAAATTACTGGATAGAGGAAAATGGCAGAGTTAGTACAGGCATGCTGAACTCATAAATAAACAAACAAAAAAACAACCAAACACAAAAACAGCTCTATATAGCCTGTTTGGATATTTAGAGGTCATATGAACGGTTTCCAAAAGAAAAAAAAAGTCAGTGGTGGTTACTAAAATTGCTAAATTGCTATGAGTAGCAATTCAGTTTCACTAAAACACCATCATCTTCCACACTGACTTAATATTAACTTTATTTTCATTGGTTTTATGGTTTTATTTCTATTAATTGGTAATACTGTTTTGATTTTATAATGTTATAAAAGCTCTAAGTAAAGGGTACAATAAAAAAACAATTCAAGGTAACATCAAGATCTGTGAAAATGTTTTCCCTTTAAAAAAGCTCTGTACATTATTTAAGGCTGACAATTGAGGATGCTCGTGTCATTGATTTTGCACATGAATCTGGCATAGCTAGGTTATTTTATAGAAAATATGACAAACAAGGGACGCCTGGGTGGCTCAGTGGTTGAGCATCTACCTTTGGCTCAGGGTGTGATCCTGGGATCCTGGGATTGAGTCCCACATCGGGCTCCCTGCATGGAGCCTGCTTCTCCCTCTGCCTGTGTCTCTGCCTCTCTCTCTGTGTCTCTCATGAATAAAATAAATAAAATCTTTAAAAAAATAAAAAAGAAAGAAAGAAAACAAGACAAATGACAACACATTTCTAGCCTTTTGCTCTCACCAATAAAATAACTTGGATTATAGTCAATTCAAAAGATAGCCATTGCTTTACTAAAATCTCCACACAGAATACTAGAAGTGAAAACATCATAGAGGTCTCACCATTGCTGCTGGTTTTTGCATTCTTTGCCAGTTGTGCGCGAGTAGCAGCAATCAAACTATCATGAGCCAACTCCTGAACCCGGAGGAACCATGGAATGCTACTGTCCGTGCTCTCACTGGAGAGGAAATCATTCCCTGAATCCTCTGCCTCATCTTGTACAAATACTAAGTGCTCAGCTGAAGAGCCCAGACCTGGAAAAAACAAGAGGATATGTGAAAGTTACCCATCAAGTAATCCCTTTATCGGCCCTGGCTCAGATACTTCATGTCCTGAATCAGCTATTCCAGATTTTCAACTCTCACCTCAAGCTTCTGTTCTCCTACTACATAGGTTATCATCTTTCCACTCCCAGCTGACAGGCTTATCTTTCTTACCTCCTCCAGTTTTCAGAAGGCAAAAGCTGTTATCCCCACCCCCCGGCCCCGCCCAAGGGCAAGCAAACTAGCACCTTAACCCTATCCTTCAGTCATCTCTCTGCCATCTGCAAGCCATTCCTCTCTTCTGGCCACCTTATAACCTCTCTTTAGAGCCTTTAAATCTGTCTCGCCCATCTTTATTTTTAAAAAGAAGAGAAAATCCCAAGCACTTCTCTAGTACTTCTCACTGTCTCAGGGGTAAGTTTCCTATAAATGTAACTTGTAACTTTTGTATCCACTTTCTCACTTGCCATCCACTCCCCACCATGGTCAGAACCCTGGCTTTCACCTCTACTACATCAGTTAACAACTGCTCTTGCTCAGGTCACCATAGACTTCCTAGTCCTCATCTCACTAGCCCATCCTGTGGTATCTGGCATGATTTACTACCTTTTCTTCTTTCAGACAATTTCCCTCTCTGGGCTTCTCCTACAATGATCTCCCTCTGAAGTTTTCTTTATTCCTCTCTAGCAGCTCCTCCCCATTCTTCTGTCACCCTCTTAAATGTGGGTGTTTTTTTTTTCAGGGTCCCAGATTTGCCTTCTTTTCTGAATCAAAGAATCCATGTTCATTGTTCCCTACATTTCCTGAATGCTGGTAAGCATCAAAACAACTTATTTTACACAAGATATTTCTAGAAACCTGGATTCCTGTTTCTCTCTAAAGGACATCTCCTCATGAACGTCCCTCTGAAATCTCAACATCAACAAGCATAAACTGGAAGTTATCATCCTCCCCCGAACCCTGTTCTTGGGCTCACTATCTTGCTGACTGGTACAACCTAATTTCCCAAGCAAGAAACTTCTGAGTCATCCTAGAATCTGCCTTCTCCCTCTATCTATTCAACTGATCATCAGACTATACCAATTCTCTAAAAATGATAAAATAATAAGGCTTTCCATTTTAAATATGACTGAGTTAAATATGGCCCACCCCCATTTTTTTTTTTTTTTTAAGCAGGAGCAAAGTTCAGAAAAGGATAATGAATACCTGCTCTTGTTAGATTAAGAAGAATGAAAGAAGTGCTATCACTTGGCTGTAGATCTTGCAACAAGCTAGGAGACTCTGGAGTCGACAAAAACTCCGGGGACTTCTGTACAGTCTGAGCCCTCGTCTCCTCTCCATCTGGGCCCACATTCACCTGAAGGCTTCTCAAAACAGCTGAGGAAGGGACCTCTTTGGAGGAGTTTGTATGACTTGGAGTATCATCTGGCAAAGGGAAAATATCACAGCTTTATGGAACACTTATCTACACAGAGCTCACCATTCTGATACACAGTACCAAATACCCCCTACAACATCCCTTATAGGAGCAGCAGCATTTTTATTTTACAAATACAAAATTTCCCTCAGAAGAGAACAGAGAGATAACTAAGTTGTAAAGGGAATCAGCCAAAATGTGGGGAACACTCATCTGACACTTGGCAGTAATAACCAACCAACCATCCACATTTGGGGATTACAGACCTTTGTCTTTCCAAGGCCAGAATCAGTACTTTTCCTTTGAAAAATCTAGTTATACAATGAATAACTTATGCAAGAAGAGGATCTAAATTTTAAATTATTTTTCTTGGAAAGAGATTCCTCCCTTTAGTTTTTATACTATGTATGTGACAGTTCTGTTGAGTCATTGGGGGAAAAAAACATAGCCTGAAATATCATTGAAATTTTACAGAATCATAAATGTTTCATTATACTCCTGGGCTTACACTGAAACATAAAGAAGTAACTCAGAAAACTTGCTCTCTAGAACTTTATTCTAAGGGATGGGATGAATTTCCAAAGGTTTTGGTTGCAATAAAATGAGAAACTGCACTACAGTGCTAAAGCATATGTGTTTTCAGGGACTTCAGTCATCTTTATAAAAGACAGGTAATTTTTTTTCCTTGAAGGAAGATAACCGATAAGATTACAGGAATGAAAATGGAAGCCTAGGGATAGTACTGCCGTTTCAAAGTCTAATGAAATAGCACAATATGAATGTACTTAACGTCACAGAACCAATGAGATAGTAAATTTATGTGATTGAAATGGTTAACTGGTTTAAATGGCAATTCTTTAGTTATGTATATTTTATCATACACAAAAATTTTAATAAAGTTCATAGCAGCACTGTTTGTCATAGTAAAATGCTAGAAAATAAATATTCTTCAACAGCGTCATGGAGAAAGAAGCCATGGTTACACTCATCAAACACTATACAGCAATGAAACTAACCAAACTACAGTTCTACATACAAGGATGAACCTCACAACTATAGAGTAACAGAAGAAAGGTTACAAGGACATATATTAATATGATTCCAAGGTCTAAAACCACCTAACATTAAACTGCATTGCTTAGATTTGGATGGTTAAACTTGGGAAACAAATATTGGTCAAATAACTGAAGATAGTGATGACCTACGGAAGAACAGAGGTTGTCTTTATCAGGGAGGAACCCATGGGCGCTTGGGAGCTGGCAAGGTTCCGCTTCTTGATTGGGTGGTGGGTATCTCCTTTATAATAATTCTTCAAAACATATCAGCATATAGTTTTCTACTTTTCTGCATTTATCACATATCCCAACTAAATAGAAAACATACAGGCCATGCATGGAATGATATATACATATTTAAGAGGGAGGGGAATAAAGTTAGGGAAGTATGTGCAAGTACATTTGTGTTAGATATTATGTTTCATAAGTTGGGAGCTGAGTACCTGGGTTTTCATTTACTATTATTGACAATTGGTTATCTAAAATATTTTTAATCAGGGCAGCTGACTGGCTCAATCAGAAAAGCATGAGACTCTTAATCTCAGGGTTGAGTCTGAGCCCCACACTGGGGTATACAGATTACTTAAATAAATAAATAAATAAATAAATACAAATATTTAAAAAATATTTTTAATCAAAATTAAAACTAAAGTTAATGTAGAAGATTAAGATTGATGATTTTGTTTCATTAATGTTACAATATTTATTCAACAAATTAAAATTGAGAGAGGAAAAAAGTTTAAGCCTAACTAAGATCAAATTTTACTAGCACACAGAAATGTACATATATTGAAAATCTGTCAGGATTTGGAAAAACTCCAACATACCAGTAGAAAAACAGGAGTTGAACAACAGAAGATGTGGAAAAGCTAGGAACTAGACAAGGAAACCTTTAGTCAACATTGGTTGGTTGAATATATTTGCCCTTCTTGAATCTTTAAACATTGAAAAAGATTTTAAAGTCACCAAATATTTCAGATCTTAAAAAAGGAATTCTGCCATCTACCTATGTCCACTTTTTCCTTTCCATAACAGGAAGAGCCTTCAGAAAGTAGAGTTACTTCCTCAACTATATTTATCTTGCACTGTTACTTCAACCCTCTACAGTCTGGCTTTCCACCCCTTTCCATGGAACAGATCCTGCCAACAATGGCTTTTTTTGGCCCTACCTCAATGGGACAGTCCTTATGTCATGGGCCTCTAAGAAGCATCTGACATACTGACTACTCTCTTGATTTCTGTGCCTGCACTCTGTACCAGTATTTCTTTTACTGTTCTAGCCTTTCCTATTTTCTAGGCTCTCTTGCTTACCCTGTACCTTGAATAGGGAGTTCCATCTTGGTCTTTTCTTCTCACTCTCACATTCTATGGATGGATCCTATCAATTACTATGACTTAAATTAACAATGTGCTTGTTACTCCCATGGTTGCTTATTCTCCATGATTCCCAATTTTTACAGTTTCTACCATTCAGTTATAAAGTCATTTATCCCATCCCACCAGTTTGATAAAGCAGGCTAAGCTCTTAAAACTTGTTTGTCTTATCTTTTGTGATCTTAATTTTTACCTGGTAACATCAGCCGACTGCATTCTGAGGCCTCAGTCACTGGAAGGAGGGACAAGCAAGTTATGTCTTTAGCTTCTGATTCTACTAGCCCCTGTCCCAATGGGATGGATGTATTCTGAACAAACTGTACCAGGAGCTGGGGGGCGGGGGGGGGGGAGGGGGGGAGAGGGGGGAAGAGGAAGAGACAATATTGAAAAATACAAATTGTTAGGAATGAATCTAAACCTCTGAATTTACCAAAAATTAATAGTGTAATGAAGTCTTCATTGCTCACTAGTCTCAACCTAGTGATTAACTAGGTTCACAGAAAAATGATTAACTACAAGACACATTCAAAGTTATTTTTATCAAGTCCTCTGTTTTAAAGAAAACCTCTATCACCTTCTATCAAACAGAAAAGACAAAAATAATATGTTTTAATGAAGGCTATTAAAAAGTTAACTAATTACATTTTACAAAGCACTTTTCTGTGTATTGGTTCATTTAATCCTCACCGTAATGCAGTAAGACTGAACATGTATTTTAAAGATAAGGAATCAAGTTGAAGACATCAAATGACTTATCTAAGGTTACATGAGTAGTTAGGAGAAGTAAGTCTTCAAACTTACGTAACCTGATTCCAAATTCATTGACCTTTCCACTATGCAACACAGATGTACTAAAATTAAAGCAAAAGAAATGAATAATAAAAAAAAAAATTGAGGGGAGCGCCTGGGTGGCTCAGTCAGTTAAGCATCCAACTCTTGATCTCAGCTCAGGTCTTGATCTCAAGGTCGTGAGTTCAAGCCCCGTGTTGAGCTCCACACTATACGTGGAGCCTACTTAAAAAATAAATAAAAATAATAAACAAATAAATAAAGTTTAAATCCTCTAATCATACTTAGAAAGAGAACACTTTCAGATATATACAAAATTAATTGAAAAAATGGTTGTGGAAGTAAATATTTATATATGCATATACACATTCACATATATATCATATATATATAAAAATTTTGTCATGGTATAATTACCTAGATGTACAGTAACTTATGATTACTTAAATAAATGTAAAAATAGGTAAAAATGGGAGTTTTTAAATCTTTGAGAAAGTACTTAATGATAGAAAAAATAATAAACTAGTAGTTATGACCAAAACCATACAGCCCACAAACCTAAAATTTTACTATCTGGTTCATTACAGAAATTTACTGACTCCACTAAGGACAAACCTTGGAAGATAGCCTGCAAAAAAATATAAATAAATAAACAAATAAAAAGCACTGCCTGAACTCACCTCTGGTTTGGATTCTAACTCATCTGATAACATTGATTCAGCTTCCAAATCCTGTAGCTGTTCAAGGGACCAGTTAAAAATTTAATTCAGAGTCAATAACACCTTCTTGTAATGCTCATATTCCTCTAGGAAATGCTATGTTTTTCCTGTAAGATGTTGTGCTGGGTGGGTAATCAATTTAGCCTAAAAAAGGATAAGAGAATGAGAATTAGAGGATTGGAAAAATGTAGCTAAATGAACAAAGGCACCTCTCTACATATCTGAAAATCACAACAAGCAAGCAAATAAAGAATTCAGCCCAAAACACTTGTTTTAATATAGAATAAGCCCAACAAGTGTCAAAATCCACTAAAAGTTGTACTTTGTAGAATCTCTACTTCTAAGAATCTATTTTAAGAAAAGATCTTAAAAATAGAAAAAATATATCCTCAAAAATGTCATGTTAGCATCTGTAATAATAAACAACTGCAAGCAAGATATAAATACACATATATACCCAATACTTAGGGAATGGTTAATTAGATTATGGCACTGTCACTTAAAAATACAGTTCTGAAAATAATGCAACCACAGGAAAAAGTACTAATGACACGTTAAATTAAAACAAAATGCAAAATTATATACTTGCTGTTATTAAAACTAGTTAAGATATGAGAAGAAAAAAATAAAAGGAAATTAATACAACTATGATAGTAGCTAGATTAGGTGGCAAGCTGGTATGACTATTTCTTGTCTCAATTTCCTCATCTTTCTAAAAGTACTTACACAGTCAAAATCTGAACATGTTTCCCAAAAGTAGTACCCTTGGGACCCTGGTGCAGCTGTTTTCCCCTCACAATTAAAATTATTCAATTTCTTATTGAATAGAGATTATTCTTATAATTTCTTACTTATTGCTTAATTTTTTTTTATTTTTTTATTGCTTAATTTTTTTCAGACTTTTTTTTATTTTTTTTAAATTTTATTTATTTATGATAGGCACACAGTGAGAGAGAGAGAGAGGTAGAGACATAGGCAGAGGGAGAAGCAGGCTCCATGCACCGGGAGCCCGATGTGGGATTCGATCCCGGGTCTCCAGGATCGCGCCCTGGGCCAAAGGCAGGCGCCAAACCGCTGCGCCACCCAGGGATCCCCAGTTTTTTTTCAGACTTTTGACAAAACAGTCTACTTTAGTTTGTGCAATTGTTGCTAAAATTGGGAGCACTACTATATACAAAGTAATTATACAAGGTAAAATATACCCAGAATGGGAGTTTTCAATTAATACCAAGGTTAAGTAGAAAGTTAGAATAAGGCAGACTTACTCTACAAAAAGGGCATTTAGAAGTACCTGAATAAGTGTTTATTGTCCTGTTGAGTCCTTCTTCTTCCCCTTGCCAGCTTCCAGAAATCTTCATTTTCATCATAAAAAAATAACAATTCACATGATGTAAGTGAAAGTGTCCTTTTATTTAACTTTCCTACATAAAATCAAGTATCATAAATCTGACTTTTCCTTTCAGATAGGTTTTTTTTTTTTTATTCAAGCACTATACACAATAGTACAAAGTAGTTTATTCATCCTTCTTTTTCACTGAGGAAGGAACCAAGGCTCAGTACATCATTTCTCAAGTTATTAAGCTGCAGAACCAGGACTCCCACCCATAGAACAGGCTGGCATATATCTACTTATGTTTATCTATGTCAGACCTTGAAACACCAGGGTTTAAGAATTCCTTTTCCCCAATTCCAGTTCATCTCAAGAAGCCAAGAAATAACAAAATACTTATTTATTTTTAAGGTTCTTCAAACTTTTGAGTTTCTGAGATTGTAGTAAAATCTCTAAGAAACTAGAAAACTATTTGTTTCCCTTTATATTAATTTTCTTAGAAACCAATGATGCTGGCTGTGTTTCTATTATCCTTACCTAATGAAAAATGGAAAAAAAAGTTTATGAAAATGTGCACTGACAAGGGAAAAATCATATACTAGTTCTTAGACATTTTTACAAAGCTGTAATAATTTAAAGAAGGAAGCTGCCAGCTCTCATAGTTTAAGAGCCACCTCTGGGGGATCTCTGGGTGGCTAAGCGGTTTAGTGCCTGCCTTCAGCCCAGGACATTATCCTGGAGTCCCGGGATCAAGTCCCACATCAGGCTCCCTGCATGGAGACTGCTTCTCCCTCTACCTGTGTCTCTGCCTCTCTTTCTCTCTGTCTGTGTCTCTCATGAATAAATAAATAAAATCTTTAAAAAAAAAAAAAAAGAGCCACCTCTAAACCACCATTTCTCAAGAGTCCATGGTTATCTATGATATCTTTTTATTTTAGCATCTTCACTTCAGTGATAATCTTTTAAAAAATAAATAGTGCAAGCATTTTCTGGAACAAATGGGTGGGTATCCATACTATAACTGAGTTCTGCCCAAATTTGGTGCCCACATTTGTGGTTTGTAGTGTACTGTATGAACTAAAGAGAGACTAGTAGGATACATAGAAAAGGCAGGCTGACCTCAAGAGAATCTGTACTGGAGCACTCAGTACCTCATCAAGTGTACTGTGTGAATCTCATCTTTAACACAGCAACTTACTATGTATATTAGCCGGAAGTGTGATAGCAAATATGCAATTAAATTTGTTTCTATCCTCAATTCTCATTAACAGGTTTCAAAAACTGCAACACAAATTTTTAAATAACAGCTTTACTGAAATATAATTCATATACCATATAATTCACTCATTTAAAGAGTACAGTCAGGGCACCTGGGTGGCTCAGTCAGTTAAGTGGCTGCCTTCAGTTCAGGTCACAATCCCAGGGTCCTGGGATCCAATCCTCGCAATCACAATCAGCTCCCTGCTCAGTGGGGAGTCTGCTTCTCCTTCTACCCTTCTCCCCTGCTTGCGCTCTTTCTCTCTCACGCTCTCTCTCTTAAATAATTACAATCTTTAAAAAAAAAAGTACAGTTAAATGTTTCTTAGTATATTCAGAGTTTTGCAATCACAACCACAATCAATTTTATAATTTCATCATCCCCAAAAAGAAACCCTGTATCTCTCAGCAATCACTCTCCATTTTCTCCCAAGCCCTCCCCTGACCAGGCCTAGACAACCATTAATCTATTCCTGTCTCTACAGATTTGTTTATAAAAATTTCTAAACATTTCATATCACTGGAATTATATATGTGATCTTTTATGCTTGGCTGCAATCACTTAGCATAACACTCCCAAGGTTCATCCCTGTTGTAGCATCAGTACTTAATTTCTTTTTAGTGCCAAGTAATATTCTATTATTCTATTGTATTGAATTATATTTTATTTATGCACGTATCAGTTAAAGGAATTGGATTATTTCTACAATTTGGCTATTATGGACAATGCTATGAACATCATGTACAAGTTTTTGAGTGGACATACATTCTTACTCTTTTGGATATATAACCTAGAAGTGGAATTGCTAGGTCATATGATAACTCTATGTTTAACCTCTTGAGGAATTACCAGGCTGTTTCCCAAAGTGTCTATACCATTTCATAATCTTATCAGCAGTGGATTTCTCTACATCCTCACCAACATATTATTATAGCCCTCCTAGTAGGTATGAATGGTAACTCACTGTGGTTGTGAGTTGTATTACCTGATGACTTATGATGTTGAGCATCCCTGCATGTGCTTATAGATATGCACATCTCTGCATGTGCATCGTTCTAGGAAAAATACTTATTCAGATTACTGGCCCATTTTTAAAATTGAGTTGTCTTTTTATTATTGAGTTGTAAGAGTTCTTTATATATTCTAGATACAAGCCCCTTATCAGATAGATGATTAGTACAAACTTTCTCCCATTCTGTGTGCTATCTTCTCATTTGCAACACAAATCTTATCTTCACTTGAACAAGGCAACTCTAACTGCGATTATTTAACAATACCTCATTAAAACTGGTATTCAAGGACTTCTAGTTTTCGTTATATGTGAGATCTCATTATCACAAGCTGCTTAACAATGTCTTTTTTTTTTAACAATGTCTTGAGATAAAAAAAAAAACAATGTCTTGACATTGTAAATACTCCCTTGTCTGATATTCTCTGCATTAGTATTACTAAAGTTAAGATGTACAAACAGAGGAAATAAGTTATTGAATCCAAGGCTAAACCTTTCCACTATGAAGTTCAACATTAAGAACCGCATTTCAGAAAAAAATCTCTACCACATCATATGAATGTTATTTTGAGTTTTGTTTTATGGTGTGGTTTACAATTATATACCTATTCATAAAGATATAAATCATGGCAACAACTGATATAATCCTAATAACCTAAACTATACTACCTATATGGTTCCTAGAGCCATCAAAACATTAGACTGCTGATATTGTAATAAGTTTGTTTGTTGGGGCACCTGGGTGGCTCAGTGGTTGAGCATCTGTTTGGGTCGTGGTCCCAGAGTCCTGGGATCGAGTCTCTCAACGGACTCCCCACAGGGAGCCTGCTTCTCCCTCTTCCTAATGTTTCTGCCCCCCTCTCTCTCTGTCTCTCATGAATAAATAAATAAAATCTTTATAACAAGTTTGTTTGATGATATATGGTAACTACCCTTATCTTGGTGAACACTGAGTAGTGTATCAAATTGTGGTAATGTATTGAATTGTCAAATCACTATGTTGTATATCTGAAACTAACATTTTATGTCAACTATTCATCACTTAAAAATAAGTATGTATTAGATTGCTTAAAGAAAACAATCTTGGTTCAGCATATATTAATTTTTTTAAAAAATCCACTGACCCTACCACTGTTATTGAATTATTCATAAATTTGTTTTAATTTTATAGTTAAGAGCTACTGGGGGCTTCAACATAGGAAAGTAAGAATTACTACCTAGCTTTATGTCAAAGTATATTTAGAGTAATCATAATAAAAATAATTTGCCAGTATGGGGGCCAATATAGTGTCCAATGCAAAGTTCTACCTTTAAATGCAATTTGCATGACACTGGAGTGGAAAGCACTGCTCTTACTCAAAAGGAATCTATTTTCTTTTCTTTTCTTTTTTTTTTAAGATTTTATTTATTTATTCATGAGAGACACAGAGAGAGACAGAGGCAGAAACACAGGCAGAGGGAGAAGCAGGCTCCATGCAAGGAGCACAATTGGGACTCAATCCCCAGTCTCCAGGATCACACCCCGGGCTGCAGGGTTGCTAAACCCGCTGCGCCACCGGGTCTTCCCATTTTTCTTTTCTTTTTATTATTTTTTTTAAGACTGAGGTTTTCTTTCCTCCCTTTTCTTTCTTTTTTAGATTTTATTTATTGAAAGAGAAAGAGAGCAAAAGTGGGAGGAGGAAGAGGGAGAAGCTGACCCCCCACTGTGCAGAGCACCTGATGATGCAGGGCTCAATCCCAGGACCTTAAACTCATGACCAGAGCCAAAGGCAGACACAACTGATTGAGCCACTCAGGCGCCCAGGAAGCTATTTTTAAGGTAATTATGGGTCTCAAGGAGATTTCTTCCCAGGCTTTCTTATGCTATTAATTAGGATAAGAGACTAGGAATGCAATACTGAGTAGTCACCTCAAGTTTATTAATGTAAACACTAAATATTTGTTTATGGGGGGGGGTGGTATCTTTACCTGGTAGACAGGCAAAATTTACATCCCTATTTCCTTTTAAATTAGAAAAATTAGCCCCATAAATAACAAAAGAGATAGACATTTAACCATCAGCAACCAAGAATAGGCCCATCAAATCACATTTTCCACAAATCGTAAATAAGGCATCTTGGCTCTTGATAAAGAGTCCACACAAAATAAAGTGATCTCAGATACCCAGGGATTGGTCTAATAAATACTACTAATAAATATAAAAATAAGTAGTTCTAGTCAAACCCTTTCTCCCTCTACCCTTGACAACAAATGAATTTTACTGCGTGCATGGTTCCCTATGGCCACATTAGACTGCTTGAAGAAAACAACCCTGGTCCAGGAGATAAATTATATTTTTTAGAAATCCACTGACCCTGCCAATGCTATTATATTAATAGCTAATAATAGCAGATATGTTAATATGTTATCCTACAATCAGCCTAAAGGCTAATTAAAAAGAAGGCAGACAAATACAAACCTTTGCAATGAACCAAAGCAAAGAACACAGGAAGCCCTGAAAAGTTCTGTAAATTGGTAATGAGAAAACTCATAACAAAAGCGAAGCAGATTTAAGACAATAGCAATCTCTAGGATCTAAACCATCCTGAGAACAATTCTTCTGTTTTTAGCCAAATAAACAAATACTGAGAACGAAGTCTGATTAACTGTATTCTTCTTCAGCAAGTTATGCATTAACATTAAGGAGCTGAACAACTTTAATAAAGAAGCTGAGATATGTTTATTAACAACAACAACAACAAAAAATCCAAGGCCT